TTTTTTGGTTCAGTTTTCAGTTAGTTGTTTTACATATGTAAATTTATGCATATCTTAGTTTTGGTTTATATAGACTTATATATACGCGATATGTCTGCACATACAAACTGTCGTTTCCATATCTCTGCCTTGAAATCTGCATAAATGATGATGATTTTATTTTATTTTCCTCTGGCTTTCGTCATTTGGAGTTGTTGTTTGTTGTCTTTTTTGTTTTTATACCAACTTCTTATAAATGTGAAATATATTTTGCATACACATCGCTCCAAAATGGGCTCCAGAGATTGCGATTGCTGCTGCCAGGGAGGTCCTCCATTGCCGGCCCTAGGGAGAGTTTTGCTTTGCTTTGGCTTACGAATTGAAATTTTGGTCATTTATTTGTATTTTTTTTAATTTCGTTTACCCTGTAACTTGCTTGGTAAAAGGGTATATTGAAAAAGACTAGGAGTTAGTTAGTTAGAGAATAAATAACGAATATGCATTAGATATTTTAACAAATACATATACATATGTATATAAATAGACTTTTCTAGTTTTTTAGTATTTTTTTTAAGATTAATTATAATTAAAACAATGTATTTTGAGTTTCTATTAAGGGTTTTCTTTATTATGACCTCATAATAATACTAAAACTATAAAATCATCGTATGTTATCATAGCATACTTTTTGGAAACTATCTTACATCAAGTACACATAGGGTATTTCATAATCAATCATACCCAAGAGACGTATTCTCAGCTTCATCCAGTTTTGAATTTGGATAAGCGGCATCTGTCCAGTTTCCAGTCGCTCTCCAGCCTGGAATTTTTTGTATTTTTTGTTGTGCTTCGTATTTAGTTTGCTTTATGAAATTCATCGCAAGCTTTTTTTTTTTAGATTTTGAGTTAGTGGATTCTATTTAGGCTAACAGCGGCTATCCAGAGGCATGAAACCATAAAAATGGCAAATTAACCGTGTGCCTGTGTGTGTGTGTGTGTGTGCAAAACCTTTCTGCCAGTGAAGCCACAAACAAAACAGCTACAACACAAAAACACACATACACACACACACACTTACGTACAAATAAACATCAAGCTGAGGCAGCTTGGAAATGGCACGTTTTGAGCTTCGTCCAAGTCCAATCAAGCAGCGAAGTCGTCGACTGACTGACGCTTACGTTGCCGTCGTCGTCGCTGCGTCGCTGTCGCCGCCCCTTTGGCATGTTCAATAACAGCAATGGCCTCGGCCTGCTGGCTGGCGCTGCTTCAATCAACGACAGCGACGTCGACAGCGACGGCGACGTCGCGGGCAGCCTAGCAATTTACCCAGCCATGCATATTAAGCCTCACGATTTGTATTTGCCTCGCCGTCCGTCTCTCCCCGTCTGTCTGTCTGTCTGTGTGAGTCAGCCTGCGCTGCATTCGCCAAATCCCCTGCTTGCCTGTCACACGCTGTCGTCGTCGGCGTCATTGTAGCGCTCTCTCCCTCTGACTGTATGCAAGTGTATGTGTGTGTGTCTGTGTGTGTGTGCAGATATGTGAGAGTTCAATTTCAGTTCAGTTCAGCGCGCTTCACAGTTCAGTTTGAGTTGATTCTGTTTTATAAGTTTTCAATTCAAGCTCCTCGTTGTGGTCTCGCGCACCTCACCTCCCCCTCCGTCTTCAATAAACATGCCAATGTCCGTCATTTTAAACGTTGTCTGTTTCTGTCCTGTCTAAATGACCAAATGACTAAATGACTGAATGGCCGGCACTTCCTGTGGGCGTTGAAGCGCCGCCTCTTTTCCACTTATGGCAGAGGTGTTGCCATTGATGTTGTTGTTCTTCTTCTTGTTCCCCTCGTCGCATTGAGTTTGCATATTTTAAACTTTGCATAATTGAAGCATTGATTTGAAATTGTTGAAAGCGTTTATGGGAATGGATGGGCAAAAGAGTGGCAGCCCTCTCTTATATTTGGCATTCTCTTTGAATTTAAATGTTTACTGCATGCGAAATCAAGAGTGAGCTTGATAATATAGTTGAATCTTAAAACTTTTATTCTAGTTAATAAAAAAACCCCAACTCCGGCTATCAGAGGGCACTTTTAACTATGTATACATATGTTTGTCCTCTTTTAAAGGCCAATTTAAATATTCGTCATTTTGTAGGGCTTCCTTTTAAATGTAACTCAAAAGCAGCTGTTTCCTTGATTTCATTCGTTAAGATTCAACCACTTTTTCGATTTCTTCCTCAAAAATGTTTAGTTCCATTTTAAAATGCAGCAACTGCTTTGATGCTTATTTCCTGTCGCAGCATCAACAAGTGAAGCTTAAGTTCAACTTTTACAATTCCCTCTCTTCTCTTAACAGTACACACTCACAGGCATATAGACAACGGTAAAATACTTATTTTTGGACTTAAGTGGCCGGTACCGTTATCCTACGTGGGAGCAGCGTTTCGACGCAGCTGCTACTACTGCTATCCATTTAACAGCTGCTTAACATATATTTGCTCTGTACGTGTGTACATGTGTTTGGGTTTGGTGTGTGTGTGTGTGTGAATTAAATCGGCACTTGTGCAACTTCTCAGTTGCTGCTACTTTAACTCCACATGTTGTCAGTTCTCTTTTGTGCTGTTGACCCCCCTACCCCTCTGCTGGTAACGTCTTCCTGTCTGAGACAGTGGCGTCTTATGTGCCGTTTTCTATATTTTCTTTTGCCCTCGTAGCTCGTAGACAAGGCTATAAAAATTGCTTAGTTCTTAAAGCTTTTTACGCCACGCTTTGTGCGCTGCTGCTGCTGCTGCGTCTGCTTGTCTGGCGCGTAGTTGTTATGGCTGCCTTTGCCGCCTGCCTCTCACCTTCCACATTACCCCCCCCAGACTCTTCTTACGTCTTTATCTCATCTTCTCGCACACGCTTCCCACACGTTATTTGTTTTGTCGACGCCGTTGCCGTTGTCGCTTTGCTTTTTCTGCTTGTATTTTATTATTATTATTTTTCGCGTGATTCTGTGTTTTGCTCGGCAGTTTCTTTGGAAAAATTCAACTTTTTGTTTTCTTTTATGTATTTGCCTTCTGTCGCTTGTCGTGTGTGTGTGTGTGTGTGTGTGTGTTTGACTTTGAGCATTTTTTATGATTATTTTTTTTGTTGCTTTTTATATATTTTTCATAGCGTTGTTTTTTGTTTTGGTCGACGCGTTTAGCGCTCGCTTCGCTTTGTGCCGCATTTTCTGTGCCGGCAAGTGTTCTCCTTTTTCTCTCTGTCTGTCGTCTCGCTGTCTATCAATTGAATTGGGTTTTTTTATTCATTTTATTTTTTTTTTTTTACATTTCTCTCAATATCAAAAGTCGCGTTTTACGTTTACGCTCTACGTAGCGTTTTTGTTTGCGTTACGACGTTACACACATACGGCCCGACACTTGGTTCATTCATACATTTTCACTTCTTGCGTGCAAGTGTGTGTGTGTGTGTGTGAGTGTGAGTGTGTGTTTCTGTGTGAAGCATTCGCCGGCCGCTTTCAATCTAAAATTGCGTTTTTCCCTTTTTATTATATGTTCGTATGTTTTGCCAACGCTTTCGTTCGTTTGACTTTCTTTATGACTGCGCTGCCGTCTCTGCTGCTGCTTTTGTGTGTTGATGTTTTTATTACTTCTCATTTTTTATGATTGAAGGTCGTTGGTTGGCGTTGCCCTGTTTTTGCCTCTACCTACCTCTCGTCCAATTTGTTGTTTACATTGCTAGTTATGCACGCCAGTTAGCCTATAAACAGTTTGACATGCATTGCGGCTCGCACTGGCACCTGTGAATTGCCAACTGTAGGTACATATATGTATATATATGTATATGTCGAGTGTACGTGTGTGTGCGTGCTGCTCAATTATGTGTATTTAATAGCGCAGCTTGAAAGCTTGCAATTTGTTCAGTTGATTATTTGCTTTCAATACATTTCTTTACTGGCACGCCATAGTACCCGACTCTGTTAATTTATTACAAAAATACGCGCACACACAGACGCATGCAAAGCTCATTAATATGCGTTTGTAGTTTTGTACACCTTTCCAGTCGCTACAATAGCAACAACAAAGGCACATAATGAAGCTATATAAGCAAACGAAACGTCGAAAAAAGTTCAATAAACTTTTTGCTGCTAGCGAACGTCGCCATCGACCACTGCTCTTACTGCTTCTTCTTTTTCTTCATTTTTTGCTTGGACATTAGTTCATTTCAACTCTCTTCGCCGCTCTCTCTGCCTGTCGCCTAAAATCACCCGCAGCAAAGCTACACTCAACCATCTCCACTCTGTCTCTACACTCTTCACTCTTTCATTTACCATTGGTAAATTCACCTCGCGTGTAATTCTCAATCAGCACTTGAGCAATTCCGTAATTTACTTGAGCACCAATTTCTCGTTGTTCGTTTGCCATTTGGTGGATATTTGTTGTTATTGTTGCTGTATTTCATTTAAGTTTTTTTTTATCTGCTACAAAACGCTTCCTGGAAAGGGCGCCGCTTTATCTCAATTGTTGTGCACTATTCTAAGCTTTTGTTTAATTTAATTAACGCTGACCATCGCATTTTCCCAGGCTGCACCCATACAAGCACATGTATATGGAGATATACAGACACAGTTGAGAGCTTTCAATTGTTACAATTTTCGTTTTGTCATTAGGATTGATTTCTTGTCTTGCTTTGGCAATTACCGTTGAAATTGTTGCTTCGCGCTTGTGCGCCATCTCTTTCGCACACGCTTTTTTGTGCCAAAACGATCTGTCGATCTTTGTCTGTCGCGTGTTGATGATGCGCTCATTCACAAGCTCAGCAGCATCGGGGCAACTGGTTTGGTTCCGCTTTCGAAAAAGCCCCAAAAGCTTACAACCAGCGTGCACCCCTGGAATTCTTTAAATACACACGCGCACACACACATACACAGACATGCCTATTAATAATACACACATACGTATCAGGCCTCTTTTGATTGTCTTAAATTAATTTATACATTTTTAACTAATTTGCAAATTTTCTCTTTTCTGTCTCGTTACAGGTAAATATATCGACAACAACAACAACAACAGCTACAACAAGCGAGCAACAAATATTTGTATAATTGGTTTATTTGCAGTAAATACTTTTGAGTTGGGTTTTCAGCTTTTGAAAGCCCAACAAACTTTTAAGTTTTAGTTTAAGCATTTCTTTCTTTTTTTTTCGGGTGTTTCTGACGTCAGTTTTTAAGAGAGAAACCCAATTGAGTTGTGGGTTTTAAGGGGTGTACCGTGAAGTATATATATTTGACAAGAATTTGAAGATGAATATATATATACACACATATGTACATCGCTTCGATTAGGAATCCATTGCATAATATGACTTACTAAGTTATGGTTGTTTATTAAAGAATACTTAAATCTGTGGGTCTATGATGTAGATAGAACTAGGGAAAACGCAACAAATTTTCTTCAATTCTTCTTCTTTTCCCGTGTATTCTTCAACCTATAATAACAAATCAACTCTTATTTTAAGCTTTAAATTCTTATTATACAGTTATTACCATAAGGTATCGATGTGAGTCGCACACACATATGTATGTGGCATGCAACAAATGTGTCAATATGCAAATACCTTTTTTTTTCTTCTATGCGGCCACGCCCACCGTCCTTACATATGCTGTGTATAGATGCTAATAATCTGACTGTAAAAATTCACCACGCAGAAACAGCTCATTTGCATGCAATTATTTTCCCTTATGAACGACGCCCCCCAAGCGCCCCCCCGCCCTGCCAGAGCAACATGTACTTGAATTTCAATATTGATGCCTTGTAATTTGCTACAAAAATCAGCATCAATGGACATTTCATCTGCACAAGCACAAAAAAAAAAAACGAAAACAAATAGAAAAGGAAAAGCTTTTGGGAAAAAACTCAAGCACATAAATGACAAATGCACGCAACTGTAGAACTCTGAAGGAACCAGCAACAAGAAGAACAAGAAGAAGACGAAGTACATGGGCAGCAGCAGAAAAAGAAATGCTAAATGAAATGAAATGAAATTACGGTATGCTCCATGGCGCCCGAACCTTCAGTTGCGCTCGCCCTCTTCACTCCACCCCTCTCTCTCTCTCTCACACTCTCGCCTCGCTCTCCTTCGCCCTCTCTCGCTCGTGCTCTATGCGGCCAGGATGCAAATGCTGAAATTTTAAACCCTTGAATGTGGCCATTGTCTTTGATAGGTCTGTGCAGAGCGGTTCCTGGGAACTTGTGCTGCCCATATTTACCTACACTTCACTACCGTTACGTACCATTCCCCCCTCCCCTCTTAACCGTAACCCCGCTTTACCCCGCTTTACCTCAGCCACTGCCCATTTGCCAACTGGGCTGTAAGTAAGCGCTTTTAACCATATATTTGTTTTTTTTTTTACTCTATTTTTTATTTTTTTTTGCTGTACTCGGTTTCTTTTTTATATTTTTATCTTCCTTCCGCTCATTTGTCAGCCCGCGATTTTTTCTCTATTATTTTTTGTGTTTATTTTTTTCTTAATAATTTTTAATTGTATTTAGTTACATTGGTAATTATTGATTTTCTTTTGTATAGTCTGAATTACTTTGTCTTGCAAAGAGGTATTATATAATATAATGTTATTATATTGTTGCATTTACAACTCTCTGCTTTTTAAATCTAGCGCTGGAATTATAATCAGATTCTTTAGAATACAATTGAGTGTTTATCTCTGAATCCTAAAAGGCAGCCTTTAGAGAGAGTTAGTACTTTTTTTATACATTCGATAGTTGCCAACACAATAACCTTTAAAACTATCGATGATTTGAAATATGAAATAGATATCTGAAATTTTAATGATTATCATTGATTATTGTTTCGATAGACGATAACCGTTGTCACTATCGAAAGTTTGAAATATTTGTAGGTATCGAAAATCTTTAAACGGATAAAAATGTTTATTAAATATAAATTAATTTCTTTGATTAATTATTCGATAGTTGGTAGAACGATAACCGTCAAAGCTATCGATAATGAAAAAAATTGAAATATTTTCAGATATCTGAATTTTTATGAGGAGTAGAAAAATAAATTTAATATCAAATGTTTTCTTTAATATTGATGACAACAAACCCTGACGGCTTTACTCGAGGCTTGTTATTCGATATCTCTTCTAGAAAGTTATCGATAATTTTAAAGACAATTGTTATAATTTGTAGTCGCATAGCCTGATTTCAACTGGAATTCAAATAGTTGTCAATTGGCAACCTTTGTTAACCGTTGCCTGCAGAGCAGCAGCATTTATGGCTTAGACAGATTTTGCATTTGGTCAATTCTTGGCAATTTTTTGCTTCCTTCCGCAGCAACTGGCAAGCACACACACACACACACAGCCAGCCGCACCCCCAGCCGCATCCGCATCCGCTGCCCCTCAACTTGCAGCCATTTTTTAGCTGTGGCTCAGCTTTGTTGTTGCTGTCAGCTCGGTTTTCAATTATATATATATGTGTGTGTGTGTGTGTGTGACTTGGCTTTGTTCTGGTCCTGGCCAGGATTTGCCTTGTTGGCTGCGACTTGTTTCTGCTTTGGCCATTGTGCCATTTAAGCTATATATCACTCATACGCAGCGTTGGCGCTTCATTTTCATGCACTAATTGCGTTAGAATTTCAATGGAGATTTGTGCCCCCGTTGTCACAGACCCTCCTCCCGCCTGCTCCTCGTCCTGCTCCTCGTCCTGCTCCTGGTTCTGGCTCTGGTCCTTTTCCTGCTGCTCGGCGAGCTTAACCCGAACGCATTGATTTGACTTTGGTCACATGCAGATTTTTTAATTGGAACTCGCTCGACGCTCGATTCCATTGCTGATAATCGAAGCCTGTGCGAGGCGGTGGGCGTGGCCGCTCCGCTCTGATTTTGTTTCATCTATTTTTTTTCTCCAAACGGGGTGGCTATCTGCCATTTGTAACAGTTTTTTTTCGTAGTCCTTTTTTTTTTTGTTATTTTTTAAAGATTTTCTTGCAACCTTTTTTTTCTCGTTTTTTTTTTTGCTGTACATAAACCCAAGTCCAAGTTTCAGTGAAGAACCCTTGCAGCCCCTTTTCGCTCGGGCTATTAGAGCGCCGGCGTCGACGTTGACGTCGGCAACGTAATTAAAAACAAGAAATGCTAAACAAGAAAAATTCAACAACAACAACAACGAGCAAAGTGAAGGCAAAGAAAAAATGTGCCAAGAAACTGGCCAAGTCCTTCTTCTAGCCATCCTGCTGCGAGAGGCCCGCAAATTTATTTAAATTTTGTGCGCCAAACTCTTTTTCTATCTGCCTCTTTTTTTCGCCGAATGCTCTGCTGGGGCTGTGGGTATTAGGACTTTGTGCGGAAATCTGTAACACATTAAGCTGGACAGATACTTCAATTTTAGAATATATATAATTTATATAACATATATAATATAAATACTATATACAATATAAATAATATATATAATATAAAGAAATATATAATCTTGGGATGTGTGAATGCAGTCAAATTTAATTATTTATCTTTAAAGCTATTTTCATTACAAAAATTTAGGTTATTGAGTTCGATTATTAATTAATAATTATAATAAGTTAGGCTACCTTATTGGGAGCTGGAGGTTTTCAGAATAGAATAGTCCGTTTGTTCGGAAATCATTGATTTTAGCTACTTCAAAAAGGTACTTAAAAAATCTATTACCTCTTGGATATGGCTAAACTGTCGCGCAGGCGATATTGTGTGGCTCTGATTCGCTTTAGTCGACTTTTGAGCCTCGGGTCTATTATGAGCCTTCTCAGGGTATAAACTATCTAGTGTAGTATAGCAAAGCGAATGGTCAAAGTTTTACGAAGAGACCAACCTAATATTCATAAGTTATTCGCAAACTCTATGAAGAGATCAGATGAAAAACCCATGCATAATATATATATATATATATATTTTTTTTTAAAGCAGGTCTTTATATATTTATGTTATATATAGTCGAGAATCAGCTAAATTTGCATAATCTTCCTGAAATTTGTTCTATGTAGGCAAACTTGTTTTTAAAGACAACTAAATTTAAAGCTCATGAAATATGCATTTATAATATTTTTCTTTAAAAAGAAAATAATCTCTTTAAAAAGAAAAAATAGTTTATTTTCAGTTTTTAAAGATATTTTATCAACTTTTGAATTAGAAAACTTGACAAGTCAACATCTATTTAACTAAAAATTAAATTACAATGCAAATAGTTTAATTTAAGCGGCTGCAGCCGTCTCTTAAGATATTTAATATTCGGCTCGATGAAAAGTTCTTACTTATTGTGTACAATTTTTTACCTTTTCTCGTTGTTGTTTTTGTTGTTGGCAATTTCTTGTTATTTTTAATAAAGTGCCGAGCGAGAAGTTGGCCAGAAAAAGGGCCAAGAAAAGTGCGAGTAGCTGCAGAAAAAGTTGCGTAAATTTGTTATGTATTCTCTTTTTTATTTTTGTATGTTTTACCCTTCTTATTAATGTTGTTGTTGCTGTTTTCTTTTTGATTCTTATTTTGTTAACTTAAATAAATAAATAAGGCGTTGTGTGGCCGGGTGGGCGTGGACGTGGGCGCCGCCGTCGCGTTGATGAGCCGCAGCAGCGGCAACGACCACAAAATCCGCCAGCAGCAGCAGCCGCCATGCCAACCCCCCAACCCCCCGCAATGCCGCAACCCTTCCAAGCAATCATGCATCCTTTACATGCCTCCACTTCCCGCCTCCCCTCACCCAACCGCCGCTGCCCCATGCCCCCGAAGTTCCGTTTCCGGCGCCAGCCATTTGCATCTCCAGCTACAACAACAAGAAATTTCTTTCATTTATTCGAAGGTTCTGCGCCCCGCACCTCGCACTTGTATATGAATACATATACATATATACATATTACATATATATGCATACATATATTTTTGTCGTGTCGAAGAAGAAAAGATTCTTTTTTTTTTTTTTAAAACACACAGAACACAACTGGAAACTGGACTTGCACTGGGCCGGGGAGTGGGTGGCGGGTGGCGGGGGGTTTCGGTTAGGTCAATAGGTGGGCGGGTCTGTAACGGGTACACAAATTTTTTTCAACCTACTCAATTTTTCGCCTTAATTTCTTTTATTTTTTTTTTTTTTGTTTTTTGTTTCTTCGACTGCCAAGGGACACCGCAGCCAAGAGGCGGTAATAAGAATTTTTTCTTTAGTTCTCTCAGCCTTTCTCACCCTTAACTTCGCCACTTTGGCCACTACTCAACCCCCCCCCCCCCCCCCCTGACTCCCCCCGCCACCCCTGCCAGTCCCGGCCGCGCCTTCTGTGCGTGTGCGCCGGAGTGTTTTTTCCGTATTTTTAATTTAAAATGCGAAGCATAAAAAAAAAGCCGAAGAAAATATCAAATGCGCTTGGGGTTGAGTGCGGCTCTGAGGCTGGTAAAAATAAAGAAGAAAAAAAAATAAATTATAAAAAGAAGAAAAACGAAACGAAAAGAAAAGCTTCTCCGTCGCACTGCTTAAAAGAAAAACTTCTGAAGTAAATATTTGTCTGTCCAATTGCTGCGACGGGCTGCCAACTGCAGTGGCCATTCGGCCATTCTGCTGCCGTGGGTGGACGAGGCAGGCAGGTCAACCAACGCCGGCTACCGAGCAGTGGGCGTTTGCCAACGGGGAAACTGGACTCAGTTAGTGACCATGCCAAATGGAGACCCTGTCCAAAACCAAAGACAAGCTCCAGCCGCCCAGCCGTAATGACTGCTACAGCCCCAACCAGACCAGCGACAGAACAACACCAATTTTTTCTCTCATCTGTGTGTTTTTTTCTGTCTGTCTGACTGTCTGTCTGTCTGTCCATCTGTCTGTTGCCCAGCCTGTGGATGGCCCAGCTAAATGGGTGTGGCTAGTTTTGGAAGACATTCGCATCGCTGTCGAAGATTCGCCAAATATTCCAGCGAATACCTAGAATAAGAAATGTTACTTTCTACCAGATATGAAATCAAGTAACTGCAGCCAGTGTAACGTTCAAGGATTTCGAATATGAAATAAATGTGTTCATAAACACAATGTGAAAATTACAGAGAGAGACAGAGAGAGAGAGAGAGAGGGAGAGAGAGCGAGAGAGAGCGAGAGTGAGCGAGAGTGAGCGAGAGTGAGCGAGAGTGAACGAGAGAAAGAGAAAGATTGCCATGTATGCGGAACCTTTACGAATACGCTCAAACAAGAATTTGACAATAAGAGAGATGGCGTAAAAATTACAAGAGGGAAAAATATAACTCGATAAGTGAAACCTTTACGAATACGCTTAAAGAAGAATTGGAACATGTAAGGACAATAACGACGTTGACAAAAAGAAAGAGAGAGAGAGAGTTGTAAAGAGATAACGATAAATATGGTTGGATAGAAAAGGAAAAAGGAGGAGAAGGAGAAGAAGTTTTCAATAGGGGCAACTACGTATAATATATTGGTTAAACTGATTGGGAATTCTAAAAACGAAAAAAAGCTGAACTTTTGTTAATGCTTGATGTTGAGTTTTAATGTTCAATGTTAATGTTTAATGATCCCAAAAGGGTCAAATACATATTATTTATTGCTTAAACTGATTGGGAATTCTAAAAGCAAAGACTATCTTAACTTGTGTTAATGTTAAGTTTTAATGTTTAATGTTACTGTACTCTAACTGATTACTGAAACAGGTTGGGAGTCTAACACTTGTTAATATTTGATGTGGAGGTTTAATACAATCCTTTTCTGAATCGAAGCTTTATACTAATTGTTATTTATGTTTTTTATGATTCTTGCAGGGTTTGCTGCGCACCGCCGAACAATTGAAAATCAAAGGCCTCTGCGAGCCGGCTGAGAATGCGGATGATTTAAATGACGCGGCATCGGCGACAATAACCGTATCGGAGAACATACAGCAGGCGGTTGTTGGGAACATTGTGAACGCGAGCCTAGTGCCCGGCGCGCCCTCGCCCACAATCGAGCAGCAGCAGCAGCACCATCAGCAGCAACAGCAACAACAGCAGCAGCAACAACAGCAGCAGCAACAGCAGCAGCAACAGGAGCATCAGCAGCAGGTGCAACAGCAACAGCAACTGGCGAATAGTGCGCTGCTGGCACAGCATACGCTTGCAACAATCAGTGGCATACAGTTGGCCAACGCGGCCGGGCAGCAGCTGCTGAGCAACACAGGCGGCGGCACAAGCAGCAGCTTGCAACAGTTGCAGCAGCAGCAACAGCAACAGCAGCAGCAGCAACAATTGCAGCCAACGCCGCGCAAATCGCGACTGCGTAAACGCTCCAAATCGCCAGATTTGCAACTGGGTGGCAACGCCGCCGGCCAGCAACCACAGCCGGCACATCACCAGCAACAACAACAACAGCAACAGCAGCAACAACAACAACAACAACAACACCATCATCCGCAAACGATACTCATCCAGGGACAAAATCAAACATCGATCGTGAGTCTACAGCAAACGGCAGACGGCAATTATATACCGGTGGCAACAGCTGGCGACGACTCCGATAGCGATAACAAGCCGCAAAAGATCTGCAAGACAGAGCAGTCGGTGGCCTCGCCGGCATCCAACTCGTCCACATCGAATAATGCAGCGGGCGTGAGCGGCCAGGCGATTGTGACACAAATTGTAGTAGCGCGCGACGGAAAAGATAAAAATATGACTAGTTTAGGCATGGGCATGGTAAGTGTCGCCGCAACTGCGTGTCGCGTCTCTATCTCTCTCTCTCTCTCTCTCTCTCAGTCAATCAATCAATCAGTCAATCACTCACACACACCTTGTACTGCCCCCGTGCCAGCACATTGTGCTGTCACAATTCTCTAGCCCACTTTTCGAGCCATTTTTAACATATTGCAACTCTCTTATCCCTTCCCCCAAAAACCCATATCCATGTGCAGAACGGCGGTCTGTTGGGCGTGCCCATGGGCTTTCTGGACTTTACACCGGAACCACCAGCACCATCGGCCACACCTGTCACCGTAACGGAACACGTCGATCTATCGTGCAACCCCAGCACCGATACACGCGATCTATCAAGTGAGTCTCGGTAGCGCTACAGTTCGAAAATTTTTCAATTAATATTATAAATATAAATAAATATAAATATAAATATATATATATAAAGTAGATATTATATGCAACAGTTTACTTAAGATCTTAAAGTATTATTAGTATTTAAAAAATATATAAAGTAGATATAATATGCAACAGCTTATTTATGATCTTAAAGTATTGTTGGTATTTAAAAAGAATCTAAGCAATCTTAAGACAAGCTGCTTACTCTAGATTTCTAAACCTTATTCTTTATTTGTACACCTTATTCTTTACCTTATTCTTACCTTATTACTTAACACTCAAATAGTTATCTGAGATTACTTTGGCTTTAAGCATAATATTTGTTAACTTGGAAGAATAGCTTAAATATTTTTCAATAATCTTGTATATACATATTTTAAATTCTTTTCTTTCTGCGAAAAGTGTGCAACACGTCCCAAATGATTTTTCGTATAGAACTGTAAATGCAAATGAATTTGAACGCAAAATCTCACAGCACAAAACTTTGAACCCCATTTATAGCAAAGGGGATAAGATTTTGAGACACCCTTCAAATGAATTCGAACAAAGATCTATGAAAATGAGTTTTGAGGTCGATTTTTGCCAAAATCCTGATTAAAAATCTTATTTCAATATTTACTTAGATTATAAAAAAAAGTAATAAAGGTATAATTCCAACTCTATGTTATATACATTTATTTTCAAATATAAAATATCTGTAGTGAACAGGATTTTAGCTGTGTTCTATTTTTGAATTACTAGTTTAAATACATTAATTAAACTAATTATTTAAGTAATTAAGTGTAAGTAATTAATTTATATTACATAATTACCCAGTATCATTAGCACGTGCTTTAACTGCTTTAAAAATGTCAATCATCATCATCCGGTTAATTAAGCATATTTGGACATAATTAAGCGTATTTGGACATATTTACAGAAGCTAATGTTACTTTGTCATAGTTTAGAGAGATAATTCCACAATTTTGGCATAATTAATTGAATAAATATATTTATGTTGCTTAATTACTGAGTTAATGACCTTATATGAAAAAGTTATCAATTAATGACGCTATTGTTTTTAATTATTGAAGTGAGAAAATCATTTTATTTGTTTTTACTAATTAGCCAAATTGCCTTTTAAACTATTCTTGCCCTTTAAAATCTATACATTTAATATATGTATATACAATATAATATAATTACTTGTTAATTAATGGGCGGTTAATTAAAAGCCTTAGGCTCTACATATTCAATAGTTAGAAATAAAAAGCAAGCCTTAAATCTGTTTAATATTAATAGGTATATATTAATCTTTTTATTTTTATTTATTTATATAATGTATTTTATTAATTTAGCTTCTTGAACTTGTTTACTAAATAAAAATCGTTTTTTAATAATAAATTTTAGATCCCACCGAACCGCTCGACATTGACAATCATTTGGCTCAGCACATCCATCGGCTCGATCAATCTCCCATGCACTCAATATCGCATCACCATGCAACCGGGGACGAGAGCAACTCGAATCTGGCGCAGCATATCAAAAGTGAGGTGATTGAGGCCAAGCACTTGGTGCATGTGCAACAGCAGCAGCAGCAGCAACAGCAGCAGCAACAACAACAACAGCAACAACAACAACAACAGCAGCAACAGCAACAACATGCACATCATCACCAGCACTTGCATGCTCAGCAATTGCTGGCGCAGAGTCAGCAACAGCAACACCAGCAGCAGCAGCAGCAGCAGCAGCAGCAACAACAGCAGCAGCAGCAGCAGGCGGCGGTGCATGCGGCACAGCATGCAGCGCTTGCCACGCATGCGGAAATCGGTGGCGCCACAGTCATGGAGATTGATCCGAGCCAGATTAAGCATGAGCCGGGCATGATTATAACGCCAGAGATTGTCAATATGATGTCCACCGGGCATATGGGTAAGTTATTGAAGAAAATATGAATATCAGAAGAACTTGCCACAGCACTAGAACTTGCCACTAATCGTATGCCACATTTCCATTTCGATTTTACAGACATGTACAACTCGGATACGAGCGAGGACTCAATGATGATCGCCAACGGTTCGCCGCACGATCAGAATGAGCCGCATTATACGAATTTGGATCAGCAGCACGGCGGCCTGGGTGGCAGCGTTTGCGGCCCCGGCGCCGGTGGTGTTGGTGGTGGTGGTGGTGGCGGCATTGGTGGTGGTGGTAGTGCTGGCGAGAAAGGTCAGTTTAATGGTCCCAAAGCTTGGACACAAGATGATATGAATTCAGCTTTAGATGCATTAAAGAATCAAAACATGAGCCTGACGAAAGCATCTGCCATTTATGGCATACCATCAACGACCTTATGGCAGCGTGCTCATCGTTTGGGCATCGAAACGCCTAAGAAGGAGGGCGGCACCAAATCGTGGAACGAGGATGCCTTACAGAATGCCTTGGAGGCGTTGCGTTCGGGTCAAATATCGGCAAATAAAGCATCCAAAGCGTTTGGTATACCCTCATCGACGCTCTACAAGATTGCGCGTCGCGAGGGCATACGGCTGGCGGCGCCATTCAATGCCGCACCAACCACGTGGACACCCGAGGATTTGGAGCGTGCATTGGAGGCGATACGCGCCGGCAATACGTCTGTACAAAAAGCAAGTGCCGAATTTGGCATACCGACAGGTGAGTTCAGCCCCTTCCATTGTAATGATCAAATCTGGTCTCGCTACTCGTTGGACTCGGCACTAATGCAAGACAACTTATAGATTGATTGTGCTCGCTAGTGGTACTCGTTACTTGCTACTCGTTGGTGTTCCTTTTTCGCCATTCGTTACTCTTTGTAATCTACTCGTCACTTTCGGTGAACCATATCCATTGTATACTTCTTATACACCCAGCTGGTACTCGTTACTTTCTATTCGGTTGCTCTCCTTTTTCGCCATTCGTTACTCGTTACCCAATCGCCATTCGTTACCGTCGATTAACTCTATCCGTTACATATTTATTGTGCACCCAAGTGGTACTCGTTACTTTCTACTCGTTACTCGTTGCATGTTGCTCGTTACATGTATGCGTCTCATTCTGATTGTACTCTTTTGAGATTCTCGTTATTTGCCAGACTGCACCAAAGACTACTTCTTGCTCCTCGGTCTTGAAGCAACCCTCGTTACTTGATATATATGTTGCTCGTTACAATAAGTTTTCTCTCCTCCACACGTAACATAGTTCTTCTTGCCACTCGTTACTCGGTAATGTTTCCTTTAGTCGATTCGTGCAAACTGCTTCCAGTTTGTTAACATCATTTCCTGTTCATGTTATTGGACTTCTTCTACTTCATTACGCCCCTTGTAATTGTTTCCTGCCGCCTGCCCATTTGTGCTAATTCATATACAATTCTCAATGCCAAAGGAACACTTTATGGACGCTGCAAACGGGAGGGCATCGAACTGTCGCGTTCGAATCCAACACCTTGGTCCGAGGATGCCATGAACGAGGCATTGAACTCAGTGCGGTAAGTATGCCATAAATTTGAATACCTATTCAAATAAACCAAAATGCGTTTCTCTTTACCCTAAAAGCGTCGGTCAAATGTCCATCAATCAGGCGGCCATACACTACAACCTGCCCTACAGCTCGCTCTACGGACGCTTCAAGCGTGGCAAATACGATGTCGTGGCCAATACCAGTGGCATCTCCCTCAACAATACATCGGGCAACACGACCGGCAGCATTGAGATTATCGAGCATAGTCAGGAGAATTCGGTAGGTTCTTTAAGACAAACTAACGAGCAAACGCACACACACAAACATACACACACACACACACACAAACAAACACACACAAACACATACAAAAGCTTATTGGGCCTCGGTGATTTGTCATTATATAAAAAGGAACGTTCTGAATTGACATTGAGCTGAGCATTCCCTTAAATTGGTTTGTTTAAAGCTATAGAGAGTCTTTCTAGTATTAATACTTGCCTAACAAAAATACTTGGACATGACGTCCTTTAAAAATTGATTAGCCCTTCAGAGAAGATTCGAATCTTTTAACAAGCTTTTTAGAATATATATTAGGCATTATATGCTGGCACAGGTTAAATCATCTTTAATCTTGTGCTTATAAACTGTTTGCTAAAGTATACCATTTTAATAAAAAGCCGTTACTAAACAAAATATTTATAAAATATGATAATGTAAAGCTGGAAAATAGGGCTATCTTCCACACGCCGATTTAATACCCTTGTGGACATTTTCCTTATGGCTTTGCAGATATTACAAAAGACAAGCTTGGGCAGGATACAAGAAGTTAATTTTCAGCCGATCGTTTCTGTGACAGCTATTTAATAATTATAGTCCGATGCTCATGAAGCTTTGCACATAGTAAATCTAATGAATGTCGAGTTTGGTCCAAATATCTTAATAAACAAAGAACTTTGTTTTTTTTAAAAGATCCTACTTTTCGAGCTATTTTTGCTATATGCCTATATGATATAGTGGTCCGATGTTCATAAAGCGTTGCATGTATAAGAAGAGCATTGTCAAAATAGTATATGCCGAGTTTTGTCAAGATATCTTAATATACAAACAAGCACCCACTTTCCTTCCTATGGGAGTTATATGATATATTGGTCTGATTTAGCCGGTTCCTATATACATACTTCCTCCAACATAAAGACGATCATATGCAAAGTTTCGAAGGGAAGCTCGGAGATGTCTTCTGCTATGCGTTAGACATTTCATGACAAAATTAGAATACTCTTTACAAGGGCTTAACTAAATTACATTATAACAATCCAAACTCGTTAGTAAGGAGTCTTGGCACTCGTTATCGCAACTGCTATTCGCAGTTTATAAAATGCTCGAATACTTTAAAAATTTAAGACCAGCAGTATTATGTTAACAGAACGATATAATACAAAAGATAAATATACTCGTTGAAATGTTACTCGCTTTTTAAAATTATAAATCGCTACTCGCTACTTTAACGAGTGCCTAGAGAGAGTCAGAACTGTATTAATATACTCGATGCTATGTCTACTCGTTACTTAATACTCGCTATATATAGGCAACTAGTACTCGCTACTTAAATCAGCCTGAGCCGAAATAGAAACAGTTTTCACATTGTAATTGATTTCTATTGAAGCCGAGTCAGTTTGCAACGAAGATACAAACATAAGGATTTGATATCCTTGATCATACAGTTTCACCTTTGACATTTCCTTTTTCACATACGTGTTTCCATTGGGTGTATTTGTGTGTGTTCGTTAACCTCCGCATCTAATGCAACATTTTGGGAAACATTCTCTCATGCCACCACACACATACACTCACACACTCACTCACACTCACACTCACACTCACACACTTACACACACACACTCACACACAGCTGCCAGCTTTGACTAACCGATAACAAATTTATTTATGCAAAGTTGCATATGTTGCAGCAACAGTTCCCGTACAGTCCGTCGCCGCATCCGCCGACGCCGCAGCACCACGGCACGCCGCAGCACCACAGCGCGCCGCAGCATCATAGCACGCCGATGCATCATAGTACGCCGCAGCATCACAGTTCGCAGCAGGGTCCGCCGACGCCGCAGGGCATGCAACAGCACGTGGTGCACATGCAGCAGCAGCAGCAGTCGCCGCACCAGGCGCACCATCAACAGCAGCAGCAGCAGCACATGCAACAGGATGTGGTCACATCGAGCAGCCAGGTGGTGCATAGCCAGCAACAGCAGCAACAGCAGCAGCAGCAGCTTCAGCAGATCTATCAGCATCACGGCACGCCCGAGCGTAGTTGAGAATCACTGCACGCTGCGGCAATGCTAGGCGGCGGCGGCAGCAGTGGTGGAGGTGGAGGTGGTGGCGGCGGCAACACAACACCAACAACAGCAACAGGAGCAGCAGGAGGAGCAACACCCTTTGCCAGCATATCGGGCCTGGCCAGCGGATCGTCGACTGCGCCGCCATCATCGAGCACAGCTGGCACCAGCAAGCGCAAGAAAGCGACTAAGCAAAAGCGTTGAGAAAGCGCCGCCGCCGACGCCGCTGCCGCCGCTGGCTGCGAGAGAGTTGAAGAAGATGTTGGCAGCTCAGCAACGCCCACCAAAAGCAACACAAACGCCACCGTCGCCGCCGCCGCCGCCGCCGCCATTAAATTTCGCTTCAACTCGAAGCACTGGAAGCGCAAGTTAAAACAGTTTCATTTGTTGTTGTCGAAACCAACTGGAATAGAAGAAGCGCTCGCTCAGCAAGAGATGAGAGCGCCAAGCGAAGAGAGCAAAGATAAGCAAATATAAGAGAGAACAATTCAAGCGAAGAGCGTAACTTTTTGGCAGGAATTAAAAGCAAGAAAAAAACCAATCAAAATTTAAAGAGAACAATTTATTCAAAATATATATGAAAACATTACATTACACAATTTAGGATGTGTATCAAATGTAAATATTAATTTAATAATGTTAATTGTATATGAAATATGCTTTACACTAAACTACACACTACACGACACGACACGACACAGTTTTCAACTCGACTCGAAATTGAAGAGCAGTTTGTTAGTTATATAATATGGGACAACTTGGATGTGTGTTAGATTTTTCATACATTTATATATTTTCTTTGAACGAAACATTACATTACATAAATTTAAGCGAAATGTGAGCAAAATTGCGGTACATCTTCTTTTGTAGCAGAATTCTGATATAATTTACATTTGTTCGTACTGTTTTTTCTTCTTCTTCTAATTAGTTTAGTGTGAGACTGAAAGTGCGCCCCAAATTGTAAGAGCAACAGCTGCAACAACAATTGTATAGGCAACAAACACACACACACACATATACACATACACACTCTTACACGTACATATATACAACATACATATATACAAATATGAAAAATGCTTTATAATTTTGTCTAGAAAAGAAAGAAAAGTAAAAAATACCTTAAAAAATATAGAATTAAACCAAAATCATCAAGGTCTTAGAAATTAAACTCATTAGCATGTAAAGAACTTTAAGCAAATCACAAAAACAAAGGTTAATTGAATTTTAAAAAGCAAAAGCGTGAAGCAAACAAAAAAATAAAATTATAAATAAAAATAAAAACTTAGCTATGTATAAGCAGAGAAAATAAATGTAGCAAATGCATAATTGTGTAATTGAAGTTAAATGAAGATAAGCACATGAAATGGAAAATGTATTTTTGATAAAAGAAAGAAACAAACGAAACTAATTTGTAAAGAAATTCAAAACTTTTGTTAAGATGCCAGCAAACAAAATGTCAAAAGCAGAGCAGAAAGGAAAAAACTACAAGAAATACATGCACACACACACACACACACTCACATATTTAGAAACTAATGTAAAATCTTTGCTAGTGTAGTGTCTCGACATACAAATAAAGCCCCAAACACCTCTACTTGATCCCAAAATATATAGAAAAACGTGAAATAGTTTTATTTTTTTCTCGCCGCGCAACGCTAGGTGGCGCCACATGCAAATATGCATAAATATATATATGTTATATATAAATATCTCAGTAAGTGGTTAGAAAAACTATCAAAAAAAAGCAAATCAAATGAAAAGTAAATGAAAAAAACATTTATATAAAATTGTAAAAAAAAAATCTTTATTTTTATTTGAAATTGACAAAAAGAATATTAATAAAAACTCTGTATAGCTTCCATTAGTATATAAAACGTGTGCTGAACAAACACTCACACACACATACACACACACACATACATATTTTTGAAGCTACTTCAAGTTTTGGTTTCAAGGCGAAGAAAATAAACCACAAGAAAAACAGGAAACTTTTTTGAAAAACTTTGTACATATATACAAACATTTAGTTTTTAGGCATTAATTAAAGAGAGAGGAATTCGAAATGTTTTGCACTTATTGCGCCTAATTTATTGAATGCATTATTTAAAACATATTTAGTGTGTTTACAAATCGTAGAACTGAAATGCAATATGCTTACCTTAACTCAATATAATTTAATTCCTATTATTTTTAGTTGCTACTTTTTTTCACATAATTTTATTTTTCGTTTGTACTATTTACAAACTAGGCAAAAACTGTATATCATTGTAAAATAATTAAGAATTGGATGGACAAGTGAACAGCATATGAAGTAAAATCTATAAGAGTTATAAATAAATAAAAACAAAAAAAACAAAAATAAATCCATTAAATCTACATATATATATCATAATAACATTGTTAAAATTGTCGCAAGAACAATTAAAAAATAAAAACAAAATCGAAATCGAAAACGAAAAAAGAAACGTAAATTAAAAGAAGAAAAAGTGAGAATTGAAGGCAGATCACGTAGTACATATAAATTGATATGAAATCTAAAGAAAACATTTAAAACAATTATACATATATAAACACACATATGTTGTATAAGCTTATTAAAGAAGTAAGTGTAATCATTAACCACACAATATTATAGCACATTTCGGATTATCAAGTATATATATTTATATATATATATATAAACATGCGGAAAATATCGATTATAAACCTAAATGTTAGCCCAGACGGAACCATACAGAACTAATTAATAATTATAATAATAATACAAATAATAATTATGCAAAATGTCCTAAGACATGCGAATACATGTAGTTTGATGTATGTATATGGCAATTGGAAGGCAGATTTAAACAACAAACATTTAATGTAATATTGGTATAACGTAATTTTTAAAGTGAGGTACTATAAATAAAAATTATTAAATAATATAAATCATAATCGACTGGTTTTTCTCGAATTTATACTCTATTTTCGTAAACTAAGTTTAATTCCATTTTGTTAAAGTTGGTAAACAATTTGTTTATATTTTAAGTGTCACGATTTTCTTTTCAAAATTCTTAGCTCTTAACAGTTGCTCTAAAACTGTGCAATAGCTGAACTACGCCTTAGTTAGGTTAACAGTCTTGCACCTCATTTAACAGAGCTACTCCACAGTTAACATCTCAGCTTAGCAACAGTTGAGTGCTTTCGGGCTTGTTAGAGATGCGTAAATTCATGAATATTAGAAACAAATAAATTTAATAAATAATACAACTTATTTTAAAATATCACTTAAAATTTAACGTTAATTTAAATTTTTAATTTGTATCAAGTTCATTCAATTTGTTGCTGTTACATTGCTGTTCGTGTTGTGCTTTTTGCTGCGGCTCTCGCGCAGTTTTAAGTCTCTCTCGCTCTTGACTACTGTACGTTTGTGTTCTTAACATTTTTGAAATTAACTCAAACGTTAACATTGGCATTTAAAATTGCATATTTCAGTTAGAGTTCTGCTTTCCACAGAGACGGTTCGGTTCGGTAAATTTTCGCAAATAACGTCGTGTTTTGTGTATGTGTGTGTGTGTTAACCTTTTTATACGCAGAATATTACAAAAAACACAGAGCGCAGCATTTTTGGTGTACAAGAAAAAGTGGTGCGCGAAACAGGATTTCTTCGTTGTTCCGTAAGTGCTTCTTCTTCCACATCCTCTGCAGCACAAGGTGTGTAAATAAGAATGTTTCGCCAAAAGGCAGATTCAATGTGATTTTTGCAAAAATCATAACTGTAAACAAAAGCGCGCAAAATGTATGAGTGTGTGTGTGTGCGTATGAGTGTGTTTGCTTGTGTCTAAGGGCCAACAGAGGGGGGCAGCCTTATCAGTGCGCAGTTTATGAATAGATTAATAAATTGTACAATAATCTTATTACAAAATAAAGTGAATGCAAGTGAAAGTAATTGAATTGATGCGCAACAATTTGCGCAACTTGTGCGAGAATTTTGCAATTTATTTCTGAATGAAAAGTGACAGCGGATGTGCCAATTTATATACCTTAATATTAACACAGTTATTTTATTTGTTTTTGTTAAAATTATGTGTGCTGAGAAATGCGAATATACTTGAACCTGCCCGAAAGTCTCTCTATATTAGGTCATGCGGGGCAAATACTTTCAGCAAGTGGTTGGACGGGAGCAAAAGCACACGGCGTTAGCTAAGAAAAGCAACGGACCGCAACGCCTACCCACAAATTTAACTGCATAAACAGTTTATTTTTATATTGAACAAACCAGCTGCAAGTTCAGGTTCGCCCGCACTTACAGAAATTGTAACCCTAATCACATTACAGACGCATGTTACACACACACTCAGACACATAAAGCAAAGGGGCAAAAAAGAGATAATCGGTTTACCGTTCAACACGTTTTTGAATATTAACTTATAAAACACAACAACATTAAACACAACAATAACCGCCAAAGGCCAACAACAAGAACGAATAGCAATAGCAACAGCAACAAGAGAGCGCAGCACACAACGTGCTTCAAAGAGAGCGAGAGTGAGAGCCCGGAGTGTGCTCTCTGTTTGCAGCTTGCGTGGGCGCGAGAGCTCCTGAGCAAGCTTTTTTTTGGGACAGCTGATTATGGGCAGCATAAGAAAGTGCTAGTACGTATGTGTGCGTGTGCTTGTGTGTTTGAGTGCTGCTATCCTGCTGTCTACGCAGCTGGGCCGTAAATAACAGCAGCAACAACAATAACAGCGACATCTTTACTGCTTTGTGGGCCATAAGCAACGAGTGTCGTGTGCTGTGCGTGCTTGAGGGTTAATTAAACTCTCAACCGTATCCAAGTTGGCCCCCAAAACAATTCACTAGACCACAAGGTCTAGGTATTCAGCAGCGCCCACATTGACACACATATTTCAGCTTGTTTTTGAGTGCTGTCAAGCTGCCAAAAAAGCGAACCTGCAAAAAATTTGCTTTTAGTTTGCCTAAATCAAATAAATCGCATCAAAAATAAAGAAATACAAATGCTCGAATGGGTTGACTGTGTCAATTCGCAGCACTTCGTTGCATACTATTGCAATATAGTTAGCTGATAGATAAAAATGCAGTTGTTTATGCATTTGTTAATGAAAATGTTAAATAAATCAGAGACAATTGAAATGTTCGGATTGACTGTTAAGTAGGCTTGAATTGCTAAAATAACATTTACATGCATTAAAAGTCTATGTTAACTCTTGCTGGTAAACGAAAGTATCAATGTTAACTGTTGCTGTTAAATTAAAATCTGGTTAACTATCGCAGCTTTGCTTGATTTACGTAGATTACAATCTAAATTTACTATTTTTTGCATTAGTTAGGCAAATATCAGTGTTAGCTGTTGCTGTAAAAAAAACAATGTTAAATGTTGCTGTTAAGCGAAAATCTCGTTAACTATTGCAGGTTAGCTTGACCTAACGTAGATAAAATAAAAGTGCATCAATTATAGCTTAAGTTAAGCAAATATCAATGTTAACTGTTGCTGTTAAACGAAAATATTAATGTTAACTGTTGCTGTTAAAGGAAATGGTTAACCATGACAGCTTTACTTGACTTAACGTAGATTTAATCAAAATTTACCAATTAAAGCTTAACAATTATTTTTTTATACGGCTCAAAGCTTATAAAATATTGTTTTTAAAACTAGATTTTAGCCTGAAAATCTAGATTAGATCAAATCTGTTGCTGCACAAAGTTTTTAATAGCAAGTGTCAGCGACTCGGACATACCCTACGCAACATATTTGGTTAGGGTATTAACACATAAAAATATTTTATGAAGATCTCGCTCTTTGATTGTTGCGTATTTTTAAAGTACTTCAAGCAGCAATTAAAAATTTGACAAGGGCTTTTTTTCTGATTATTCAGACAGCCACAATTAAATACATTGTATGTATGTAAATACAATACAGTCATTATTTGCGAAATGTCCGACACATTGAAACTGAAACATGGCTAAAAAGCAAAGTCAATTTACGAATACATATTGGCTGTAACCAAATAACAACCTATAACATGACTAAGCGCAGCCTTAAATCAAGCAGCATCCAGCTCTTAACTTTAGCAGATGTTTACTTTCTCGGCTTCCGGCGTGCCTGTGTATGTGTGTGTGTGTGTTTGCCTGGTCCCTGTTGCTGCATATCCTGAGTGCATTTCCTGTCCAGAAACAAAATTACAAACTGCGCAATTGCTGTCATTTTGTGATGCCTGCTTCAAAGTTAATTAAAGTTCGTGGCTCAGCTAAGCAGAATTGCAAATCCTTTTGGCAAATTGCGCCCCATATTAAATTTATAAATTTGCATTTAACTACTTACAGCCAAGTTGTGGCAATCAGCTCCCCCAACTGCACTGTGGAACCAGCCTACGACAAGGTCGCGCTGCATAGCTTATCAACGGCAACAAGAAGAACTTTTCTGCCACTAATCGTTGCACGCACGTAAGTTGTCTGTTTACTTATTTGCTGTTCAGCTAACTAATAATATATATTTAGTATGTATATGTATTTATAAATGTGTCTGTAGCTGAGCTAATGGCAAAAGCTGGTAAAGTGCGCATCTGCCTCTGATTGCTTATTCGAGTACTATGCAATCAGCTCTGTTTAATAATGCATATCCTGTCTGCATATCAAAAAGCGATACTCCTGCGTGTGTCAGACAGAAATGCTTTAGCTTGTATTTTATGTACATTTCAAGTGCCGATTTAGAAAGAAATACATTTAAAAATTGCTTGGGTATTGAGCTGGAATATAAGGCAATGGTACTTTGTACCAGGAAATATATACCTCATTTATTGCAAAATTGGTATGTAAGAAATATATAACTTTTGTTTTGCATTTAGGATTAACACACAAAATGTTCCAATTGTTAAGGATAAATTCGTCTCTGTTGAAACCTTGAATAGATGCAAATATATGGCTTAGGTGCACATCAGCAGCAGCTAACTTTCATATCGTCAGAGTTTTTCTTCTTATACTCTGTCCAGAAGCTGAAAAAGAGCATTTTGGCTTTGTGGCAAGCTCATGCCATGTCCAATTTTGATACAATTATTAATTGTTTTGATTATTAATTGAACAATTAAAATCATTATTTTAAAGAAAAAGCCTGAGATACATTCTCCCTGACATCCGCCCGAATACGTGCTAAGATTTTACCAGTGGATGTGTTATAGCCTAGGCTATTAGATTTAATATGTATATTGTTGGCTTTTAAAGCTAGTCCTTTGCTCCAGGTAAACATTTCAAGAGTCATTAGCTAAACACTTTTAGACTGACATTGCTTTTAATTATGTAGGTTCGCCTTGAGCTGTTTTTAATTGAAAGAAGAGCATTAGGCAGCCGGTTGCATTTACATAGAGTTTTGACACCACATGCGATAAATTTTAAACAAATAATAGCTTATTTATAGCTTATATACATATATCACGCATAGTCTATTGATCAGGTTAAATATGAACATTAGCTAAATGCATATTTTAGCTAAAATAGAATAAGCTGAAACTTAGCACGCAAGTTTTTAGGCAATATTATAACTAATTTTAAACATAGTTTACTTGTATTACATTCCCTAAAATCAGAAATTATAGCCTTAAAGTTAGGCTAAGCTTTCCATTTAGCTGAAATTTAAAACACACACACTTTAGCTTATTTTATTGCTAATTGTCGTTTACAAATCGAAAGTTTGATCTAATAGCTGCCACATTTAAGCATTTGATAAAGGTAAATACGCACGTGTCTGTCAAAATAAGAGACAGCTGAATTACTTTAAGCTGCTTAAGTATGCTTGAGCACAGCTCACAACAAATAAACATAAGAAAAAAGGGTCCAGCACATTTTTGAATTAAATTTGTAAATAGTTCAACACTGATTTGTTTTGTGCCTTTAACACAAATTTTCATGTTTTTATTTTTTTTTTTTATTACGCTTTGTTTTGCCTACAAGTGTGTACGCTGTGATAAAGAAATGCACTGCCCAGTTGCGTATACTTAATATGCTAATCAAATTTTCGTAGCAATATTCTTTGTGTGTGAGCGATTGTCCCAACTGCTCTTAACTTTTGCTACATGTCTTCAACTTTTTCCATTTATGTATGTTTCTTCGAAATTGTTCTCATCCATGCACAGTGGGGCAAGTGCTTGGGAAGAGAGAACCAAAATATTAATTGAAACAATGGCAAGTATAAATAAATAAGGGAAAACAAATAGAAAAACAAGCATCTATTTTATATAAATTAAATATTTAAAAGATTATTATCTTAAAATATTATTATTATACATATATTAAATATTTGGTGATCAACGCACAGCCCAAACCGTACGAGAAAGGTAGCTTAAATTCTTACAGTAGTTACCTTATGTAAAGGAAGTGCACGCTTAGGCGGGCTTTTGGGAAAATCCACCCGCAAGTGTGTAAAGGACACGAAAAACGGTTGCATGTAACTTTTTTGTTTACCATCCGATCGGCCTCAAACTCATTTTCAAAGATCTTTGTTCCAATTCAGTTGAGGGGTGTTTCACACATTTCGGAAATTCCATTTCTCTTTGCTGGTAATTGGGATAAAAAGATTTGGTGGGCAAAGTTTCGGGCTCAAATTCATTTTCTCACTTTTTGCAGAATCCAAGCTTCCTCGGTGGAAAATGCCGAACAAGGATTCCTTGGACGACGTTTTAAGTTTTGTCTTATTTTCAAAGCGCTACAGAAGAACTAAATAATTATGTGTTGCGTCAATTTACGAAATTCCACCATCAATTGTGTCAAATTTGCAGGAAAACCCTTATATGAACGGTAAATTGTGAACTAGGTGAAAAAGTTAAATCGAAAATTTGAAGCACAAAACTTGCCGCGGGCAAAGACGGGAAATACCCGCTGGTTCATTATTATTATTTAAATAAAAATCCGCCTTTACAAATATACTTAAAAGGCAGAAACATATTATATATAAATACAAACTGAAATTTAAATGTCTACTCATTAATTGTCTTTTTAATCTCAGCTTTGTACCACGGTGCCATGCCACGGAAATATTTCTATTCTTTTTGTGCCAAGCGCCTTTGTTCGTTTCTATCCCTTGGGGCTACGAGCAATTTTCGGCTTCTCGACCTCCATAATGTGCACCACAAAAGGACCCTAACATGTTGGCCTTGTTCACACACACACACACACACACACACACATGCGCACACACACTTTATTCTTTTTATGTGAAATGTTGAAGCATTCGTCAATTGACCCTTGACTTTCTTCAAAGGTGTCTGCTTGCCGAGAGGCTCTCGCTTGGCTTATTGCTTTCGCTTTTTGCCCTGTCTGTGTTTTAGGACCTCGAATGATTGCATGCAATTGTTTGGCCTGTTAACTGCAGCCTTGCTAGCCCTGCTTATCCTTGGCTCTTGCCCTTTAACTGAACGAGCCAGCCCGGGGCCGAACGGAAGCGGCTGCCACTGTCAAATGTGCAACTTTTGTTTTGTGTGTGGCACATGCAGCAGACGTTGTGGGTACGTGCCTTAAGTTGATTATGTTGCGCCTGTCTGGCATTTGGTTATTAAATTTTAAATGTTGTTTGTGTTTGGCTATTTTAATTCAATTAAAACTGCTGCAGTTAACAAAATGTTGGCTGCGTTTTAAAATAATTAGTATGGAATGCCTTTCTATACCCTGTACCCAGTAAAAAAGGGTATAAAGTTTTTGTGAAAATGTATGTAACAGGCAGAAGGAAGCATATATATTCTTGATGAGCATCTGTCTGTCCGTCCGTCAGTCAGTCCTCCCGTCTGTCCATCCGTATGAACGCGTCGATCTTTAGAACCTATAAGAGCTAGAGACTTCCTCTTTGTGTTCACGCAGTAGGAGTTTGTTTCCGATAATCGATAACTTTCCCCGTTTCTAAGCAATCGATAAATATCAATATCGATCAAATCTCTTATGTTTTAAGAGCTAGTAGTATATCCAGATCAAGTATCTTTCATTGTATATCCACCTGCCTTCCCTCCCCCGGCGCGAGCTGCATTTGGCATTGATAGAAGAAGGTTCAGGGTATGCCCTAGTCGGGTATTCCGTCTAGAGCACTCCTACTTGTTTTTAATGGAATTTTCAGGGCACATTTTAATATTTACATCAAGCGCATTAAAATGTGGCTATAATGCAAATGGAGCGAAAACCAACTCCATGAAGTATATCAAATATTTATACATATTTTGTGTGTATCTAAAGGCTTAACAAGCTGTGAAAATATATATTTAAATTCTTGAACAGCATCGATTTACACTTCGATAGAGCTAAAGTTTCAAATAACTACATATATATATATATAAATATATATCTCGCCCTGCTGCTTGTGTGCCTTTATAAACGCGTCAGACACAGAGAAATTTGAGCTATGGACAATTAGGCTTGTGTACAGATATTCGCACGTACTATATTAATTTTGTAATTTAATGAGAGCTTCCTTCTACATTTTCCAGAAATTGTGTGTACGAGTTTTCGTAAAGCTTACATATATAAATTTTGTATTGATTTAATTTTCGCATTTAAGCACAAGTACTTGTTAAATTTGTACTGTCAGACTAATCTAAAAACACTTCGCTAAATTGCGTATACGCCGTGTAAACAGCTGTGCAAAGCATTTAATTAATTTGTTTAATTGGATTTAATTACCAGACGCTTGTTGGCTCCCCGCCAGTTAGGAGTAGTTCGTTAAGTCTATTTAAGCCAAACTAGTATAGCAAATTTATCAGTTGTCTGTGTGGAATGCATTTCCCTCTTTTTGCAACTCATTTCCCAGTCAGTAATTTTGTGGCTCAGCTGCCATGACCACGAGGGCGGGGCGAAGCACCACATTATTATGGCTTATATATGGCTGACATATAAATATATATATGTATATACATACAGCACATATTTGTCATCGGCATTTGGTATGCATTGAATGTGTGGGTGCGAGTGTGTGTGTGTGAATGTGTGGCACGCATTCTTAAGCATTCAAAGGCAAATCCGTGTCCCAATCCGCTTGCGACCTTCTGTCGGGGCATAAGCTGCGTATACGTAATATGTGCATGTAAATTCATGCGTTCGCTTTGCTTTTCATTATCAATGCCAATGCTGACTCTTATTGCTCTGTACGTGTGTGTGTGTGTGTGTGTGTGTGTGTGTGTGTAACTGCAAAAACTGTCACGCATAGTTTCAATGTATCTGTGTGCTCGTCTTTGTATCCGTATCTGTAAGATACTTAGCGGTTTGGCAGCGCTTTGAGCACATGCAGCCATGAAATCGGCTAATGGGGCGTATATGTTTTAAGAGGGCACATGACAATGGTTATATGAAAGCATGTCAGGCTATTTGGTTTGAGATTCTTAAAGTTTTGCTGCTTATGAAGCTGTTGCGTTTATAGGTTGTTTATTTTCTTACAAATTGAAAACTTCTTACAGTTTATTTATATGTATACTACAAATTAAAGCTTTACATTCATAAGAAATTAAATTAAAGATTGTTAACTGACTTTTCAAAGCTAGGTTGGAGTCTTTTAAATAGTTTGCTTAGCTTTGAAAGTGATAATCTGGCTTTATAGAGCTCTGTTTTTAGACCCTTGTACAGAGTATAATAATTTTTTTTTGGACATGTGTTACGCATAGAAGAAGACATTTCTGACCATATAAAGTATACAAATTTTAGATCAGCATCAACAGCCTAGTTAATATAGCCAAGTCCATCCGTCTGTACGATTTTCACTTGAATTTTGACCAAAAATAATGTTGCCAGATTTTGATGCCAAATTGATATAGAGGTCAAACCATGAACAAAATGCCAAACCTCGTGGAAATCGGAAGTGATTTGACCGAGTTATAGGAGCGGGAAATTTTGACCTATGTCTATATAGGATATTTGAGGGTACCATTTTCACTTGAATTTTGACCAAAAATAATATTGCCAGATTTTGATGCCAAATTGATATAGAGGTCAAACCATGAACAAAAAGCCAAACCTCATGGAAATCGGATGAGATTTGACCGAGTTATGGGGGTGGGAAATTTTGACCTATGTCTATATTTGAGGGTACCATTGTCACTTAAATTTTGACCAAAAATAATGTTGCCAGATTTTGATGCCAAATTGATATAGAGGTCAAACCATGAACAAAAAGCCAAACCTCGTGAAAATCGGATGAGATTTGACCGAGTTATGGGAGTGAAAAATTTTGTCCTATGTCTATATTTGAGGGTACCATTTTCACTTGAATTTTGACCAAAAATAATGTTGCCAGATTTTGATGCCAAATTGATCTAGAGGTCAAACCATGAACAAAACTCCAAACCTCGTGAAAATCGGATGAGATTTGACCGAGTTATGGGGGTGGGAAATTTTGACCTATGTCTATATAGGATATTTGAGGGTACCATTTTCACTTGAATTTTGACCAAAAAAAATGTTGCCAGATTTTGATGCCAAATTGATATAGAGGTCAAACCATGAAAAAAATGCCAAACCTCGTGGAAATCGGAAAAGATTTGACCGAGTTATGGGGGTGGGAAATTTTGACCGATGTCTATATAGGATATTTGAGGGTATCATTTTCACTTGAATTTTGACCAAAAATAATGTTGCCAAATTTTGATGCCAAATTGATATAGAGGTCAAACCATGAACAAAAAGCCAAACCTCGTGGAAATCGGATGAGATTTGACCGAGTTATGGGGGTGGGAAATTTTGACCTATGTCTATATTTGAGGGTACCATTTTCACTTGAATTTTGACCAAAAATAATGTTGCCAGATTTTGATGCCAAATTGATCTAGAGGTCAAACCATGAACAAAACTCCAAACCTCGTGGAAATCGGATGAGATTTGACCGAGTTATGGGGGTCGGAAATTTCGACCGATGTCTATATAGGATATTTGAGGGTACCATTTTCACTTGAATTTTTACCAAAAATAATGTTGCCAGATTTTGATGCCAAATTGATATAGAGGTCAAACCATGAACAAAAAGCCAAACCTCGTGGAAATCGGATGAGATTTGACCGAGTTATGGGGGTGGGAAATTTTGACCGATGTCTATATAGGATATTTGAGGGTACCATTTTCACTTGAATTTTGACAATAAAAAATAATGTTGCCAGATTTTGATGCCAAATTGATCTAGAGGTCAAACCATGAACAAAAAGCCAAACCTTATCAAAATCGGTTGTGATTTGACCGAGTTATGGGGGTGGGACATTTTGGTCTATGTCTATATTGGATATTTGAGGGTACCATTTTCACATGAATTTTGACCAAAAATAATGTTGGCAGATTTTGATGCCATTGATCTAGAGGTCAAACCATTAACAAAAAGCCAAACCTCGTGAAAATCGGAAGAGATTTGTCCGAGTTATGGGGGTGGAAAATTTTGACCGAGTTCTGGGAATGGGTCTGTCAGCTTTCTAGCTCTTACGGTATGGGCTGTGCATTGATCACCAATCAGTCAGTCAGTCGGGACAAACAGTTTTATATATAGAGATGATACATTGATTAAACATAGACCTTGACATGATTAAAAAAGTTGTGTTGTAGGCTCGAAATGGATTGAATTGTTAAAAAAGTTAATAAGAATAAATTCGCCCTGTATTAAGCTATGTAGGTTGAGATTGTGACATAAGTTAATAGCCAGCTTTAACATGTAGTTAAAACATAAGACATGGCAATTAGTTTTCCAATACATTAAATAACTGGAAGTCGGTTTTATTTGTATTTCACAGAGCATTAACTAGTCGTTGCAGTCAACTTTCAATTTGCGTTTAATGCTCTTCCTGTTATCGCTTCCACTTATGTGCTTGTCGATTCGATTAATAAATCAGACAACAAAAAATACACGTAATGCAATTTTATTGAGCGAGAGAAATTTACATGCATTTTTTTAGTGTATTGCCAATAAAGTGTGTCCGTGTGTGTGTGTGTGTGTGTATTTGTTTGTATGTGTGCCTTTGTCTTATCTTGTCTCTCACATCTGCAGATTTCGTTGTCATTTTCATTTTCGTTTTGAGTGCTTCTCTTCCACGCTCTCTCTGTCTCTCTCTCCCTCTCTCTCTCTCCCTGTCACGCTAGACCGTTTTGCTTATCTTTGTTTTTATTTCTGATGCATTCATTCAAATTATTCAATTTGAGTGGAATTTTACTTTGTATTCAACAATATTTTTTTGCCCCACAATTTGCATTTCAGTGTCGACGCTCGAGGCGCGACGCTCGCGTCAGGTTGTGAACGTGAACAAAATAAATACAAATTAAATATAAATAAAAAACAATAAATTTTAAATTTGTTTATTATACTATATAGTATTCTTTGCGCGCGCGTTTTTATTTTTAGTTTGCTTCGCAAATTTTCTGTTTGTTTATTTCAATTTGCTCTTGAACAATTTGTGATTTGATTTGTTGTTGCGCGAAATGCGTCTACGTAGCTGTAAATATGCCACAATTGTGTTGTAAGTTGTTCGTATGCAACTTTGTTCAAAGCCATGCAACCAATTCTTTTCTCGACTCTGTGCAGCGGCCGCAGGATGAGCCACAACAGAAACAGCAACAATGACAGCGGCGGCGGCGGCGGCGACGTTGGGAGTGGCGTGGGCGCAGCTACTGCTGCAACTGCTGCAACAGCTGCTACTGGACCAACGGCCACAACACCAACAGCAACTGCTGCAGCTGCAACTGCAACAGCCGCATGTGGCGCCAATTCAAGTTCAAGTCGCCGCTTGGTTCACTTGACGGGCGGCAATCGTGGAGCAGCCATGGGCAATGTTGTTGGCTGGCTGAAACAGGTTTCTGTTAACCCAAACCCACACTTATTTACTTGGCCAATATCCACCGTACCTGTGCCTGTACCTGTATTATGTATATGTATATGTTTATGTTATGTGTGTGTCTTGTTGCACTTCCACTAGTCCAGACTCTAAGTACTCTCTCGCTGAGCTAAGCACAGCAGCTACTCAGCTATAATTACTACACTAAAACAATACTCTCACAAACACACACAGACACACACACACACACACAGACACACACACACACACTCTAACACGCCCACACTCAAGCACTCATTGTTGTAACGTTATCCTGCACCAGCTAATTTGAAATGCAAGCGTACTCCAACCCTCCCTCCCCCCACCCCACCCGTTATACACCCCCTGGCACTTGTTTCCCTTTCATTTATTTATTTGAAAAGCTTTGCTGAAGCATTTTATGGTTCCATGGAATGGATACTTATCTCCAGCAGCAAAACACATTCCAACTGCATATTAAACAAAGGAAAAAATACAAAAGAATATTTAAGAAAAAAGTAATTTCGGTAATTTATGATTTCGTTTAAGTCAACAGCATTTTTGATTAGTTAGGTTTTAAATAGATGGCATAAATATTTAACATTTTTATATTTATATTTTGTTTTTGTATATACAATAATTAATTAATAAATAAAAATATACATAAAAGATATATCTATAATATTATTAAAATATATATTTTAAGTTAAATTGATTATAATATAATTTTATTCAATTTATTTTGTTATTTTACATTTAGTCGTAAAGATTTTAGCTTTTAAACATTATTAGTGTGTTTTTGACGTATTTGAAATTTATGTTAATTCTGCATACGTTTAAAAAGATTTTATTGTTCCTATAAAAAGACTGAAAACAGAGTTTTTCGAGCTATACTTTTCCGCAAAATTTATTTAGTATTATTTATTTTTGTTAAGTTAAGTTGAGGTCTTCCAAGTTTTTATTTTACCGATGAATTTTCACTGGCCTAACCTTTTTTTCTATTTTTTTTTAAATGGTCTGATTTATTCTAGAATATTTCTTTGAATATTTTCATTCAGTTGAAGTTTTTTATTTATTTTCTTGTAGCTGATGCGATTTACTCGAAGTTCTTTATAAAAAATAAAAAACTTTTTTAGTATATATATGTATTAATATTTTAACTGGTGATTTTTAGAAATTTTCTTAAGTTCCTTATAGATTTCTGTTGGGTTATAAGTTCTCGCAAAGTCACTTAGTTGTATCTGATGGCATTTTATTTATTATTTGTTTTTCTTAGGAGCTAACCAATTTTTGTTATTTGGAAATATTTCACCTTTGGAGCTTTTTTCATGTCGCGCCACACAATCCTTATAAAAGCCGCCTATGTATGTATTAACTCTAATCCCAACAGTTCAAATTCCCAAATTGAGCTCTCCTTTGCTGTTGTTGTCAGTCGATGTTGTGTGCTCGTCGTCAGTTTTATTCGGTGTTAGATGCCAGTTGTATCATTGCTTATGTACATGACACTCTATAATTTGCAGGCTTCCATTGAGGTGCGAGACGCTGGCACCCGGACGCTGTCCATGCTGCAGAGCACCAATCCGAATTTTCGCTCTCTGGACTTGTCGCTGACGCCAACGGTGTCCGTAGCCGCCTCGTCGGGCAGTGTGCCGACGACGACAAGTGCGGAGGGTTCGCTGAGTGGCTCCACAAACCTGGCTGGCATTGTCCAGGATACAGAGGATAGCTGCGATACCAAATTGCTGACAAGGACACGCGCCTACGCGTCCGTCAGCCAACCGCAGAGTCCGCGGCATCGCGTGCGTGGCACACCCAACGGCCTGAACGGGCGCTCCACATCGATATCATCGCAGCTGGAAAAGACCAAAAAGCTGCTCAAGATGACCGAGGGCGAGGACAAGCCGTTGACCATTTTGCACTACAACGATGTCTACAATATCGAATCCATGGCCGAAACGGAGCCAATCGGCGGCGCTGCACGCTTTGCCACAGCCATCAAGAGCTATGCACATCTGAATCCACTTGTTCTCTTCAGCGGTGATGCCTTCTCACCCAGCATGTGTAAGAAGTGCTTTCATCTATAATCAACTATCAGTTATTAATAGTCTTATATACATATATCTTCCCTTCCTCGCAGTGAGCACCTTTACGCAGGGCGAGCAAATGGTACCTGTGCTCAATCAAGTGGGCACACACTGCGCTGTCTTTGGCAATCATGACTTTGGTAAGTCTAAAAACAGATTCAAATGTTGTTCAGTGACACGTAAGAATATGCTTTGCAGCTGATTAACAGCAGAGATGAAAAGACAATGTTAGGGGAAAACAAAAATGTTAGTTTAAACAATGTAAAGAGTGTGTGTTAAGGCTACTGAAAGTATAGTCTGTTAAAGAGAAACGTAGCATATGTTAGGAAGAAATAAAATAAGTAAATTAAATAAAGGCTGATAGTCCACCAAAAGAAAGGTAAAAGAAAACATTTAGAGGTTAATGTAAAAGTTTTTTAACATGTTATTTGAATGTTAAGTTAAAGTTAAAAATATATTCCAATGCTTTATTTTAACGCTATGTAATATCCCAACAAATGTTAATGTTATTAACAACATTCTGATATCAGAGTATGTTAACAGATTATGTAGGAACTAATGGAAGTTTTCAAGGAGATATTGTCATAAATGTTAAGGCTTATAAAATATAAAAATGTTCTATGAAAGATAATTAATAATTTTGAATTCCCATTAGATCACGGCTTGGATGTGCTGGTCAAGCTGATTAAGCAAACGGATTTCCCCTGGCTAATGTCGAATGTGGTTGACAACGAAACTGGTCGCCCGCTGGGCGGTGGCAAAATCTCCCATTTTATTCTACACAATCAAATCTCGATTGGGCTGATTGGGCTCGTGGAGCGTGAATGGCTCGAGACGCTGCCCACCATCGATCCCACCGAAGTCACCTACATCGACTATGTGGAGGCTGGCAATCGTCTTGCCCGGGAGCTGCGCAACGAGGGCTGCGATCTGATAATTGCCCTCACGCACATGCGCACGCCCAACGACATCAATCTGGCCGAGAAATGCGATGGCATCGACATAATCCTTGGTGGACACGATCATGTGCGCGAGGTGACCGAAATCAATGGCAAAATGATTGTCAAATCGGGCACGGATTTCCAACAATTCTCCGTCATAACCATCGAGCGACAGGCCAACAATCGCGCTCTGTTCACCACGGATGTACAGTGCATGGATGTGACGGCCAAAATACCAGAGGATCCCGTGCTTAAGCAGGAACTATCCAAATATGCCAGTAAGTGGGTCCATACTGGACTGAGTCATTTAAAAGGAATCAAATAAGAGGGAATTCAAGTGTATTTTTTTTTTAAATGAAAAAACTACTTATGATATTAACTAGTTACAGTTAAATTAATCTTGTATTTCCCAAGCAGTTTCTTCTTTTTTAGTTAATATAACATACTCTGTAACAATAGAAAAGTTCTTTGTAAACTCTTAAATATTTACTAATTTATTTTTTCCACTTTTGCAGAATTCATTGAGAGCAAATTATCGGATGTCATGGGTATATTTGGCGTGGAGCTCGATGGTCGCTTCTCGCGCGTGCGCACCCAGGAAACCAATCTGGGCAATTGGGTGTGCGATGTCGTCTTGGCAGCGGTTGGCGCCGATGTGGTTATACTGAATGGCGGCACCTTTCGCTCGGATCGCATACATCCCGTTGGCCCGTTTACAATGGGGGATCTGGTCAATGTAATACCCATGCGTGATCCATTGATATTGCTCGAGGTGACGGGCCGTGTGCTGTGGCAGGCTCTGGAGAATGGGGTGTCCGCCTATCCCAAGCTGGAGGGTCGTTTTCCCCAGGTGGCTGGCATTAGTTTTGCCTTCGATCCGCAAGCTGCGCCCTTCAAACGCATTGATCCCCAGCTGATACTGGTGGGCGACGAGTATCTAAATCTGGAGCAGACCTACAAGCTGTGCGTCAAGAGCTACATATACATGGGCTGCGATGGCTATACCATGTTCAAGGATGCCAAAGTGCTGGTGAGTGTCCGTGTAAATTCGATAAGAATATCAAAAAGCTTATGATCTCAACTTAACCAGATGGATGACGATGCCTGTCCGGAGCTGGGCATAACGCTGCAGAATCATTTCAAGGCCATCAATTCGCGCAAATGTGGCCAGAACACAAAGCATAGACAGTCGCTGGTTACGCTATCGCGTCGGCATAGCCTGGTGCAATGTCTGGACAGTCTGGATCTGGATGGTCCATCGCCCATACGCAAGCTGTCGGTGGGTCATCACAACAAGTCCCTGGATCTGGCGCATGGCAACTCACAGAAGGTAAAATGCATTTAGCATATACTCGTTAGCTTGGCTAATAATTAATCTTGATCTGTGACAGATGCTGCGTCGCGCTTCGCTGGATGATCTGGAGCAGTCCACATGCGACTTGGCGCCGCAGCTGGAGCATCGCATTGTTATGATACAGAACGACGAGGTGAGTTAGTCACATACTAATATAAATATAAATATATTTATTTATGTATTTACTTACGTCTTTGTTCTCTCATGTGCCCAGCATCATCGTCAGCTGGTGTTCAAGAAGGAGACGCACATTATGAACTCAACCATAACCGAGGCGGAGGACGAGTAAAGTTCTTTGTGTTCCTTTGTTTTCATGCATTTAGTTTTCATTTTCTTTCAATTTCTTCTTTTTTTGTTTTCTTCTTCTTTTGTTTGTCTTGTAGTTACAAAGTTGATACGAGTTGTAGGGCAATTGCCGATTCGGAAAGACAGATATGAGTTAAGATAATGCAGTTAGTTTAGTTATGCATCGATGGGAATCGTCTTGTTTAGATATATACGATACGATGATATGTTATTTATTGCTGTTGTTATTATAATTATTAATTTTCGCTTTAAGTTCCAACGATTCAAGACTTCTCTCGGCAAAAGTAAAACCAACGCGAACTTGATATTGATATTTATATTGTATGTACCTAAAGTTGAACATAAGTTTAGACAAATTGATAAATTAAGTTGATGAAAAGATGAATGTTTTTAATATATGTACCTATTATTTATATATACTTAATTTTTACAAGACAGCCTTAGGATTATTTAGAAAAAGAGAAACAATTCGGGACTTGCAGACATTCAGAAAACTCTTCTCAAGCCAGTTCATGAACAAAGGTTGTAGCAATATTTTAAATATATTATAACTTTTATGTTCCCGTTCCCAGTCAAAACTTAGCTAGGTGTGCATGGGGCTCGGTCCAGGTAATGATGCGTGACAAAAGCAAGCAATATTTTAGAGAGCTATGCATGTGTATAGAGTATTGTATGAGAGCGTATATATTATATTTTTATGGCAACTTTTGGAGCGCTGTAATGCAACTGTTTGTAAACTGTTTGGAAAATAATGCAATCATTAACTATATATACACGAACGCGATTCTACAAGATTTTTAAACAAGATGAAGCAACAGAAAAAAAACGTAGAATTCCTTACAAAATAATACTATAAATAAAACATAGCAAAAGCAGTGGCAGAATATTTTGAACAATTACAAATGCAATTGAATTGCCAACAAAAATAAATAATATATGATATACCATATATATGTGTGTGTTGTGTGTGTGTGTGTGCGTGCGCGAGTGTGTGTGTATGAAAAACAACAGCAAAAGACCAAGCGAATTCAATTACATAAAGTTAAACAATAGAACGGACAACAGATGTTGGAATAGTTTCGTCAAGATATGCATAATAAATGTCCATGCTTTAAATACAAAGTTAACTAAATGTACAATATAGTATATACACATATATATATATATCTCAATATAAATACATAAATAGTGTATTAACAGCAGCAGCAATAGACACTTACTTAAGTATCTTTCGTTTGTTTCCGCATTTACCTGCAAGGTCTTTACTACTTTTCTACATTTTCGTTTTTCACATTTTCCAATTGTTTTTTTTCTTTCTTCGATTTGAACTATTAAACGAGCTCAACTATTTTACCTTTGGTATTAAAACAAATAACTATTCCATTCAATATGCGATTAAGCATATTGGAACATATTGCTTTATGTAAAACATTTATTAATACAAATAAAAAATATATTGCTTCATTTGGCAAACAAATTTCCGTTTCGTTAAGGAAGCACTTGGTTAGACTATGGGGGTTATGTGGGGGAGGGGGCGGGAGTTTCTTTATAGGGTTAATACTAGCTTAAATGCTTTGAAACACTTTGGGGAACTTAAGGACTACTAATCAAAATGTGTTTTGTATTGTATCCATTCAATAGAACTGCAGCACCAGAGTCTTGATCGCACTGGCTATGTGAAAGGCGCAATCGCGCACCTCCAGCGAATTCTTCTGTATGGCCTGCTTATCGTCGGCCTCAATGGATTTCTGCAGATTCTCGCACTCGTGCTGGATGAGTATATTCTTGCGTGTCAGCTGCTTGAGAGTCTCGCGTGTCGTTTCGCTAGCATTCGGCGGCTGTGGATTGTCAAATGGGTAAGTTTAATAGAGCTTCCAAATTTGATAGACCCTGTCCCCGACTCACTAGATTGGCATAGAGAGCTATTAGTTCTGTGACAGCGCTGCGTATGCGTTCGCCATGCGGTGCTATTGATTGCTTATCGGCCTCCGTAGCCGGATGCATGGCCTGTATGAGCTCCTTGAGGCAGCGCGTTACCAAATCTGAGCGTAATTTGACCTCTTCACCAAAAGGTTTGCCATCGCCAGCCATTTGATACATGCTGGTCGTGTTGCGCACATCGTTGTTGCCCTTGGCCAAATTGTTAGCTAGACGGCGCTCATACATGCTGGCGGGTCGTTTGATAGTCGACTGATTCGACGAGGTGTTGGATGAGGCGCTGTCCGCAGCAGCTGCAGCTGCCGCAGCAGCGCCTGTGCCCTCTGGTAGCGACAGCGGCTCGTGCTCCGAGTCGGGGCTGTTGAGACTCAAATCAATGCGACTAACATACAAAATAAATCATATAAAAAATAAAAAACAATATAAATAAATAATAATGAAGCTCACAGTGGCTCATCGTAGACGCTGTTGTTCGAGGCGCTGTTGAATTTGAATTTCAGCTGCGAGTTTTCGCTGGACAACTGCTGCACCACATTCTTCAGCTGATTGATTTCGCTTTTGTATTCGTTGATCTGCTTGCGCAGCGTTTCCATTTCGTTCTGCGAGTTCGCGTTGCGCGGCGGCGTGTGCACAATGGCCTGAATATATAATCAATAAAATGAAAAAAATAAGTAAAACATAAGTGAAAAGAAACAAAACTTAAAACTAGAAACAAACTTCAAACAATGGACATGATGACAGTTAAACTACATTTTGTACATGAGCAACTAATTTTATTTAATTATATAGCTTTGACTAGAAAAGCTTACAACTAGTTTTCGAGGGCGAGTTAGCTAATTGATGAGGTTTATAATAAGTCTGTAGATATATATCTATATATACATAGATATGAACTAGGCACTACATTGGGGGTCTCAGTCTAACCGAAGCTATTGTTCAGCTTGAGTATCTTTTGGCGCATTAAGTTTACCTGCTGCGCCATGGGCGGCACCGGCGCATAGTCATCATCGCTGGCCACCGGATCGTAGATGGGCTCATCATCCGATAGATTTGGATCATGCACGCTCTGTTCAAAGGAGCTGCTATACATGGTTGAGTTGTTGCCATAGGGCAACAGCTGCAGCGACTGTGTTGGCAGCGGCGCATCCATCGGACGCAGATTGGCCATATTCTGGCGGCGCAGCGCATCGATGAGCACATCCGTTAGCAGTCCAGCGAATTCGGCGCGATTGAAACGCGCCAGCTTCTGGCGACCCTGTGGCAAGTAAAAACAACAATTAGTTAATTTGTGACAGGCGGTCGGAGTCAAGGTGCAAACCTGATTGCGCGTGGCGCTCAAAAACGGATTAGCTGGCAAAAATGGCACCGTTGCATGCTCCGCATTCAGCGTGCTGGTGGACCAAACTGACGGATAAAAAGAGCATATTATTAGCGAAATTAGTTGCTAGCGGTTGCTGCTACTCACTGGCTTCGCACTCGCGCCGATCGACCTCGTCGTACAGATCCATGACAAGCTCCTCAAACATCTTGTTGGGCACCAGCTGCAGCTTGCCGCGTGCTATTTTCAATTGTTCGCTTATATCGGCCCCGTTTGTCTCCGGTATTATCAAATGGCGACCGCTCTAAAGGATTACAAGAGCATCAGCCTAAGATTTCATTTGTTGTTAAGCAGACTTACAGCGTGATCGGGCTTCTTGCCGCCCATAAACATAATAAGTCTATCGGTAACATCGTACATGGCGTCCAGCAAACGCTCAGCTATGGTGCTATGATTGTTGGTCTTGGCCAGCTCCAGCGGCGTCATGCCATTCCCATCCAATGCATTGACATCGGCGCCATAGATGAGCAGCATTTCGATTTGTGATGCCTGCCCGAATTTGGCCGCCATGTGCAGCGGTGTCGAGCATTTCTCCTCGTGATAGTAATTCGGATCGGCGCCCTGCACCAGAAAACGCAACGAGGTCTCCAGATTGCTGGTGCGCACGCTGGCATGCAGCTGTCTGCTGAGCTCCTGTTCCAGGTTGCTGCCACCGCCGCTGGAGTCGTCATCGTCCTGCAAGCTGGGCTTGAGGACAAAGTTTAGATTGACATGTTTGGCTTTAATAAAATCCGACTTGGTTGGATGCAGTGCATCCTTGGGCGTGGGCTTGCGCCAGCGTGGCACGTGTTTGCCGCCCGATGAATTTGTGCTGCCATCCAGCAGATGATGCTCCCAGACGCTGTTGGCGCCATGTGCATTCAGCGAGTTGACAAAATTCAACACCGACGGCTCCCAGTTACCCTGCCGCAGCGACTTGACAATGGAAATGTGACGCCCGAGGCTGCGATGCACCGAGCAGCAGTCGGCGCAGAGCAGAATGCCGCGATTGATGGATGCCCATGAGGGATCTGCGAAGAGAGAGAGAGAGAGAGAGAGAGGTAAACAGTGCTTTGGCTTGGCACAGCCTATTCCCCTGGACTCACCCGTTGCGCCGCAGTCGCCGCAGACCTCAGTTTGCAGTCGGGATTTGCTGCGCGACATTTTGCGTCTGCTGCTGTTGCTGGCACTGGCGGACGTGGGCGTGGCGCTGTGTCTGTGCTCCCCTTCTGGCGCTATAAATAACTTCTTATGCGCTTCGATTATGCTGCTGGCGAAACACATTCATGCATTTTTCACCTAAACAAGCGATAAGAGAAAATTAATTTAACGCCAAACTCCAGTGACTCAGAGTAGTGAAAAATAGTGGCGCGGCCTGTGCGCTGGCTGCTGTTAAACTAAGCGCATTAACAGCGCTAGGCCACAATCGAATCAATTATGCAAATTACTTTTAATTAAACGTAGCCGCCCAGTTGTTGCAGCACTTTTCCTGCAATCGTGGGTCAAATTTTTTCCACTGCACGGCCAGACAACACACAAGTGTACATACACTGTTTATTTATAAACAGCGCAGTGTTGTCGAGTTGCAGTAATAAATGTTATTTTTACTTAAGTTGCTATTAATTAAGCCAAACTATGTCAATAGAGCTAACGGCATACAAGTTTAATTACTGCGTGATTCGGCTTTTCTATTTTTATTCTTTTTATTTTGTAATTTAATTCATTTCCAGACAGCTGCAACATTTTCGCGGCATAACACAGTCTGGCAACGCTCTGAGATGACCATACTGTTGTCTCGCTTGCACTGCCGCAACAGCTGTTAAAGCAACAGCTGACAGCTGAAGCGGCCACAGTTTGATGCGTATTTCACACGCTGTATATGCACGTGCATTAATATTCCAATAAAAATTGCGTTTTAAGTGTATAATAAATTGGCATGCCAGTGACGAATTTATATACTTCGGTGGCCTGCAATCGCACCACCGAATGCGCCGATTGGGGTCCCAGTGGCTTGATTGCTTATGGCGCATGCAATGCGGTTGCGGTGCTGGATCCTCGCGTAAGACAAACAAATCTTAAATTGCGCATATTTTTTTGTAAAAAACTCTTTATTTTAGTACAATGGCAATTCAGCCAAGATATTGTTCACCCTGGTGGAGCACACAAAGCGTGTGAATGTAGTCAAATGGCTGGACGAGCATCAATTGCTCTCCGGCGCGGATGATGCCAACGCAGTTTTGTGGCAACTGGACAAAGCCGGCGCCAAGAAGCGCATTTTGCTGAAGGGACACGAAAGCGGGGTGAATACCGTGGATGGTGTGCGCCGTCCAAGCGGCGTGTGGCTGCTGGCCACGGCTGCGGCAGACAACAGCCTCAAGTTGTGGCATCTGCAGACAAATGGCGAAATCAGTTGCTTTCAAACTGTGCAGCTAGATGGCGGCTTCTGTTTAACTTTACGCCTCACCCTGCTGCCCAAAAGCGACCAAGTGCTGCTGGCCTTCAGCGCCGATGACGAAACAGTCGCCCTGTGGTCGGAACAGTCCGCTGGCAGTGGCGATGCCAGCGCGGGGTTTAAGCATGTCCACAAGCTGACTGGCCACGAGGATTGGGTACGTGGCCTGGACTTTGTTTACGATGAGGATGATTTACTGCTGGCCAGCGGCTCGCAGGATAACTTTATACGTCTCTGGCGCATCGAACCGCGCAGTGGGCTGCACACGTCTAAGAGCTCCGTGGATGACTCGAACGTTAATGCTGCGGACAGCAGCGAGTTACGCGTCGAGGAGAAGATTCTGCAGCTGGGCGAACAGGCCTGGTATGCAGTCACACTCGAATCAGTGCTATATGGCCACGAGGGTTGGATCTATGGCGTGCACTGGCACAAGACCGAACAGCAAGGTATGTAGTTGCATTTTGAATTCCATTCCGTAATATTAAATCAGTTCTTCTCCAGAACTACGTCTGCTATCCGCCTCCATTGACAAAACCCTAATTGTCTGGGCGCCCACAGAAATGGGCGTGTGGCTGGAACAGGTGCGCGTCGGCGAAGTTGGCGGCAATTCCATGGGCTTTTTTGGCGGCAAATTCGCACACGACGGTCTCTCCATTATGGCGCACAGCTACCAGGGCGGCTTTCACATATGGAATCAGAGCCGGGAACAGCCGCAGCTCTGGACGTCCAATGTGATTGTGGGCGGCCATTATGGCGAAGTGCGCGATTTGGCCTGGGAGCATGAGGGCGCCTATTTGATGACTGTCTCAGCGGATCAAACGACACGTCTGCATGCGCCCTGGCTTCAGGCGGACAAATCGCCCACCTGGCACGAACTGGCGCGTCCCCAGGTGCACGGCTACGATATGCAGACGCTGGCGCTTCTCTCACGCTATAAATTCGCCAGTGGCGCGGAGGAGAAAATAGTACGCACATTCCAAGCGCCAGCGAATTTCATAGAGAACTTTCGACACATCAGCGCACTGGCAAATGATGCAGCAGGCGACGCTCTGCTGGACTGTGAGTAGCCACAATATTTAATTACTATTTACATATTACTTGGGGATATTTATTTGAACGAGCATTTCGAAATATGTCCCTTTATAGAAAACCATTTGTTGCATTCAAATGCAGCGAAAATTCACTTTTCCAAGATTCCGTTCTTTTGTGTGAGTGAGAAATTATGTTTCACATAAGTTGGTGGGTGAAGACAAATTCGTAATTTTTTACAAATTCGCAAACTTTAGAAGTTTTGTTTACTTTGTTGTTAAAAAGTTGGGAAGTATATCTATTGTTGGATGGTAAATGTGATTAAAAAGATTATAGAAAATTAATGTTAAGCGGCAAATTGGAGAATGTTCGAGATTTCCATGCATATGAAATTGACTCTGCTGAACGAAATGATTGTGCAGGACTTGCTGGGAGTTAAAGCAGTATGAAGAGAGCTTAGGAAAATAAGGAACCAAAGGAGAATGATTGGATAACGTTGGTTAAATGGATGGCATATAGGAATAAATATAAAAATAATTAAAAAGTCACCGATAAGTAAAAATAAACAAAGGGAAAGTCGAAAATAAGGAACTGGGATAGGATAACTCGCATCGCAATGAAGGAGATACAGGGAAAACGTTTTATTCAATCACAACAAATTGTTGTTATATTAGACACTATTGATGAAGGAGCAGGATTTATGTTTTATAAACCGGCCCGTATAGCTTAAGAAATCGATGTTACTTTAATGAGGCTGAGCTTCCTGTTGTTCCAGTAGAAGGTCTTGCGAGGAATGGGAGAAATACTTGGAAACTCATTTAATTATGCTTATTATGCTCTGCACCATCAGCTCTGCCCAAAGGCGCTTCGGTACCATCACTGGGACTGTCCAACAAGGCCGTGTACAAAGTGGAAACAGCTGCTGATAAGAGCTCGACTGCCAAGGATGAGTATCCGGATAACTACTTTGTGCCGATAACACTGCAAACGCCGCCACAGGAGGAGACACTGATGCAGAACACATTATGGCCGGAATTGCAAAAGCTGTACGGACACGGCTATGAGCTCTATGCGCTGGCAGCCACGCCCGATGGCCAGATGCTGGCATCCACTTGTCGCGCCAGCAATGCGGAGCATGCACAGATTATACTCTGGTGAGTGGGGTTTGGTCGCCAACTGCTGGCTGATTGAGATATATGTGCTTACATGCGTGGAATCTTGCAGGAATACGACCAACTGGAAGCAGCTGCAGAAGCTGCCTGGCCATCAGTTGACCGTCACACAGTTGCGTTTCTCGCCAGATGCGCGTTACTTGCTCTCCGTTTCCCGTGATCGCCGCTGGTCCCTCTACGAGCGCGAACAGCCCGCGGACCCGCTCAGCAGCTATGCGCTGGTGGCCAACACGGACAAGACAAACGGAGTGCATACGCGCATCATTTGGTCCTGTGACTGGTCGCACGATGGCAAATACTTTGCGACGAGCTCACGCGACGGCAAAGTCGTCGCCTGGACACGGACAGAGCAGCCCGAGGCGACAGGTTCCCTGAATGGCTGGCAAGCAGCTGGCACGCTCGAGCTAAAGAATGAGTCTATAACAGCTGTTAGCTTTGCGCCGCACTACCTGAACGGGCAGGATGGGATCTATGTACTGGCGCTGGGCACAGAGAGCGGCATCATAAAGATATATCGGTTCAACAAGGGACAATGGCAGCTGAGCTGCGATCTAAACAATGAGTGAGTGCCGGCAATTGTGGAAAGAAACCAATTCTCAATTAATATATATGTATGTGTATATATCATTTGCAGTTGTGCACATCACCTGACAGTGAAGCGTTTGCAGTTCCGACCGGGTCAGCAGCTACAGTTGGCCAGCTGTGGCGATGATCATTTGGTGCGAATCTACGACATTTCGTAAACATAAAATATAAGTCGGGTTCATTCATTAAACAGTCAACAAGTCAATTATTTGCTGTTGTTGTTGTTGTTGTTGTTGTTATAAGTTTTCAACGTTTAATTAGACTTTTGTTATAGTCAGACGGTTTCCCCCAGTCTATATCTTATCTGAGCACATGTAATTGGCCATGTTTCGCTTGGTTGCACCAGTTCAATGAGTTCATTACTGTCTGCTTCTGGTGTTTTCGCGCGCTGATAACACGGCATATTGAACTCCTAATTAACTGGTTAGAAATTTATTGCACACCCTTTGGACTATTTAAGTGACATTGCAGTCACAGTCAAATCATAGTCTTGTCCAAGCCGTCGTCCCGAAATGAAAGCCGCTATTATCATAACTTTGATTGCTCTGGTGGGCAGCAATGTTGCCCTCAGTCTGGAACGTGCCGGTCCGCCGGCCAAGGTTAAGCCAGCTGCCGCTAAATTCGATGCCAGCAAGTATGATCACATCGTGGCCGAGGTGCGTCCGGCGGGTCAGAAGACCTTGGTGATCATGGAGGCCCATCATCCCGATGCATCGTATGCCGAGGAGCGGCCACAGCAACAGCAGGTTGACATTCAGATCAAGCAGAAGCAGCCGGAGCAACAGAAGAACCAGCATGTTGAGCTTGATATTAAGCATCAACACTCGAACCTGGTGTCAGATCATATGGATGTCGAGTTCGTCCATCAGCAGCCGGAGCCCCACCATCATGTCCAACTCGATATCAAGAAACAGGAGCAGAGGCCACAGCATGTTGAGGTTGAGATCAAGCAGCAGGATCAGAAGCAACAGCATGTCGAGATTGAATTCAAGCAGCAGCAGCAGCAGCAACAGAATCCCCAACATATTGATGTCGAGATCAAGCAGCAGGAGCCGAGGCCACAGCATGTAGAGATCGAGATCAAGCAGCAGCAGCAGCAACAGCAGAAGCCCCAACACATCGAGTTCGACATTAAGCACACGCAGTCGAGGCCACATCACATGGAACTGGAAGTGGCGCAAGTGCAGCCGCACAAGGAGCACCCCGAATCGCAGCACGTGCAATTGATGCTTTAAGTGCCGGGCAGAATGCCATAAATTATATGTATACCCAGACATATAGACATATAAATGCTTGTATATATATATAATTACTTATATATATATATCTATATTATATATCTATAATTATGAGAGCGCAATTTTCTTTTTAGTCCATATATATATATATTAAGAATTGTGCGCCGCACGCGCTGCAGTCGTCTCGCGGCGTGTCAGCCGCAGTTTGCAATTTCCGCTCCGTTGGAAAATTTCGTGAAAAGCTGTGAAAACTGTGCAAACTGTTTGAACGTCTGCATACTTATGGGCGTCGTTCGCTTAGCCACGTGCCATTGCTGACCGCAACTTGCAATTTCCGTGCAGCAAGTGACTTTATGATTGCCTTGCCTTTTGCCCCCCACTGCCCCCCGCTGTCCCCACTGCTGCCTTTGTTCAAGAGCTATGCGACGCGGTTAATTGGCTTTGGCTAACGGCAATTGCCTCTTGCATCTTTCTTTGACACTTTAATTATGTTTCGCTGCATTCGCACAGCTTCCAGCTGCTGGCCAACCAGATTCAGAGCCAAAGTCATTGAACTCGTCCGCCCCAAACGGATAAAACGCTCGCGCATTGTTGTTAGCCAGGACCTCGCACAATGGCCAGGCCCAAAAGTTAACCTATTGAATTGCATTTAGGCCACTTGTCTGTACAATACACAACATTTGTATTCCGCTTATTATATTTTTTTATTTTGGATTCTCTCTTCTATTTTTTTTTCCTGCAGCTGCTGCCAAACAATAGCCCTGAGCCGCCATTGCTATGGCGCAACATGCGTTTCCGTTTCCGCTGAAAGTTGCATAAAACTTTTGTTTAACTTGCATTGTAGTTTAACGTATATTTTTTTTTTCTTGATTCCACATTTGTTATTGCTGCCTGTCGTGTTGTTTTCTTTCTTTTTTTTAGTTCTTCTGGCTTTTCCTTTTTGATCCCGTTGTTGTTTTTGTTTTTCGGGTGCAAATTTTTGCATTTCATAAGTTTCAATTGCGCACAAGTTGCTGACAGCAGCAGCAGCAGCAGCCACACGGAACTCGTTGCCGATCCCCGTCGAGCTGTTGGCCATAACATGTGTAAACAGGCCAAACCATAGAAGAAAAAAAACCTTTCTCTGTGCCATCTACCAGTAGCATCCGACAGCATTCATATGTGTGTCAGTAGTCGACTGTGCAGTGGCTGCGCTTTTCCTCTGCTTTCCATACTTTTTGTTTGACTTTCAGTGAATGCCCGTCCCCATTATACCCTAACATTATCAGCTTGTTTGTTAAGGGGGCATAGTACCAAGCATTTCTTTTAATAATAATATTAATAACATTTCACATTAATAATAATTTTAATAACATCATTAAGATTGTTAGAATGGGGACTAAGGAAGTCAGTTTTTAAGAACTTTTAAAATATTGCTTTTATTTTGTAAAAATCATTTGAAGCATATATAAGGCTTCCTTTAATTATTAAGAATCGAATAGAACGGTAATACTTCAGATACTTGATATTGATTAGTGTGGTTCAGCATAAATTAAATGCGAGAGAGGAAGAGCGATATGTGAGGGAATGGAGAGATAGAGTGGGTTAGAGATGTAGAGAAAGATTATAAGAGAGAGGGAGAGTAATAGAGAAAAAGAAAGAGAGAGATATATGTAGAGAGACAAATAAAGAATGTTAAAGGTAGAGAGACAGTAACCGCAAAATTGAGACAACCGAAAAAAGCATATCAGCTATTAAAAAAAAAGAGACAGGAGTCGATAAGAAAAATATTAAAAACATGTTTTAAAAAAAAAAACCGATTATTATATATGAAAGTACACTGCCTATTACTTGAGTGCATGAAAATCGCATAGAAGGGCAGTCAGCTTTTAAAAGCCATGAATTACTTAGAATACCTTTAGAATAGTCATTTCTCAATGCAAGACGACAGTTTAAGCAGGCAGCTAACAATAAATTAATTTTTTTAGAGTATTTGGCGACAACGAGCTCTATTCACATATTTAATATGTTTGCCACTTTTTCATGTGCAAAAAAAAATCATTTAACAGGGCATCCATTAGTCGTCCCTTCTGTGTTGGCATAAATCTTATTGGCATTTTCGTTGTTGAAGGATTTTTGTTTGCTGCCAGCCGTTAGCGAGCTCGCATATGTTGCACGCATATTTCCGTTACGTTTGGCTGCGTGCAACAAAGAACGCGCTGCCCGTCCGTGATTTGTGCATTTCCGTATTTAGCATAGCGGAACGTGCGACCGTGCGAACGTGCGTGATGTCCGGCTGCGGTGGCTGTATAACCCACTCGGCCTGGCCTGACTTAGCCTGGCTGAGCCTGGGCTCGGCCTCGCCTGGCCCTTTCGGCCATGCCAATGGCGACACATACCCAATTGATGCGCTGTTGGCCTAGTTTCGGTGCGCGCCTAACGCGTAACTTAAAGCGACAATTGATTAAGTTAACAATTGGTGTTGGGGCAAGAGAAATAAAAAAAGAGTTGCAATCAAAACTTTTTTGGTTGTCTGCGAAGCCCAAGAGCAAAGCGTTCAAAGTTTTTCAATTACCTGACCGCTGGGCCACATCCGATTGCCTTCTGACCACCAAGTCGCTAGTCGAACAAATTTCAAAATTTTTGCTGTAGTTTTCTGTTTGTTCTATTAAAACAAGGCTAACAACAAGGCTAACAAGCAGCAAAGCCAACAACAACAACTGTGCCAACCACAAAGCCAAACAGCGGCTTTTTGCGCGGCTGAGCAACAGCACTAGCAAATTTAACAAGACAGCGAAAGTAGAAAGTGGCAAGTGGCAAGTGGCAAGTGGAGAGTGGCAAGTGCAAAGTTTCCTGCTGCCTTCAAAGTTATGAGTTTGCCTCTGCATGGCAAACGTTGTGGATTTTGATGATGATGAATATTGTAATATAAACTTCCAAGATGAGTTTATTAAATGCTTCTCATGGGCTTTTTCTATTACAGGTTTTCGCTCTTTGCCTCCTACTTAAAATTTCTTATTAGATTCTTGCTAAAACCAAATCGATGCAGCTACCATTAAGAGGAGGTATAAAGATATTATAAAGTCAACTGTGACTGCATAAACTATATAAAAATATATGTATTCAGGATTTATATAGTTATATTTGTTTTTTCAACTTAATATGTATAATTTCAGGGAGTGAGCATTTATAAGGAAGCTGCTCTACCTATGAGCTACTCTCTTTATAACTTAAGCTCTCCTGCTTTATATTTTTATAAATTGTCATTTTACTTTTACTACACTGTTTCACTTTCACATACATAAATTCCCTCACATATTCCCGAGAAAGTCAGACAAGCTCGCTCTTAAACGCTTCTTTCCTTTAATATATATCGCCTTTCTATGTGATTCTCAATAAATTAAGTAAGGCTTGCAAATTAAAGTGTATTTAAAGCATATACATTTTGTGTACACAATGTTTGGATTCCAAATTCTTTATTTTGTTCCATAAATTTCGACTGTGTCCGAAATTTGACACCGTTCACAAAAAGTTCTCCGCAGTTAGCTAGAGCTCGACTGCAGAAGCGGAAGCAGAAGCTTTATATCCTTAAAATCCTTTGACTTTATAGCTTAATTCCCGTGGCTAACTGGCGTGCCTTAATTGTTTTCCAATTAGCGTGCTGCAAAAACTTTAAAGTTCATTAAGTTGCGCGGTTTTTTGTTGCACCAACGCCAGCAACAGCCAGAGCGCCAACGCCTGCGCCAACGTGGCGTATGATGAATTTTTAATTACGCGTGCACAAAACACAAGCAAAAAACAGTTCGCAAATTGTAACTAGCAAGAAAAGAAAAACAAATCAAACACGCAGAACGAATGTAATTTTTTTTGCTGCTGCTGCTGCTTTATCTGTCTGTGCAAAGTAAACAGTGTCTGAAAAAAAATTGGAAAAAGTGTTGTTGGCCAAATGCCAGCGGCCGAGAGCTGAGCCACGTTAATTACACAAAACAAA